GTGTGCTTGGTAAATATTAAGGTGGTTCCGTATCAAACTTAATGATTTCCAAAGCACACGAATTTCTACACAATTTCTTATAGCCTTTTATAATCGATGGCGAAAAAGCAACAGCCAGGCGATAATGTGTAAAGCCCGGCGATAGGAACTATAGCCCGGCTGCATACTTTTTTATCGCTTCGTATAGCCTGGCGGTATGATTTTCTCCGCATTCTACAGCCAGCTATATGATTTTCTGTAGCCTTCCTCAGCCGGCTATAAGAATTCCTACGGTATTTTGAAACGCAGCTTTTATCGCCAATTTTTACCAGGGCTCTGTTGAAAGAATATTCTGAAAAAATTTCAAGCCTTAGAGTTGGATTGTTTTCCTGCGAAAATATAAAATAGGAGCGGAAATTTTGAAACATAACATTGGAGATACGCGGTTTTGCACTCTAACCATCGAATGCAGTGAGAGAACCTCTCCGATTGTTCATAGAACAGGAAACAAATTCTCAACGCAGTGAGCTTTTACCACTTAAAACACGATTTTGAGACTAGTCAATGCTTGAATCCACTCCGTCTGAACGAAGTATGAAAATCCATCCGATCATGTAGGACAATAAAAGCAATTCGTGGAAATCGAATGTCGAGAACGAAGCCATGATCGCATGAGCGGGTGGAAAAACAATTACGTGATCTGAGAATCAAATATCGCAGACAAATTCAACCGAGAGTCCCGGATTTAATCATACCGAAACTGAATACGCTTCTAACGTGGTGGAAAAATTCCAATTATGTCCCTCCAGTCGAACGATTACAATCAAGAATTTAATACGGCTTTCCTACGATTTCTACCCACAGTTATCGGTGTCAAAATATGCGGGTTATTCCGAGGTAAACGGGGTATTTTCGTACCTCCTTGAGGAGGAGGGCAAAAGTTGTCAAGAGGATGCCCGATTTTCTTGGGGGGAATTTCTATTAATCTCTGAAATTCTCTTGATTAAGCAGAATCGCCCTTAAAAAGGGCTCAATCTACAATGAAAAGAGGGAGCACGCCCCCCATCCCTCTTCAAATCTCAAATGACGACCCTGATAACACTTTTCTAGGAGTTTCGATACGTTTGAAAATAGGTACCCCTTCAGTTGCGACGGATAGTTAGTTAGTTAGTATATTTTAAGACATTCAGCGTCACAGGCTATTAACGTCTTTACAGAGAATTTTGAAGAAGGGAGTACATATGAAAATTTAGATTTTTAAATTAAGAGAGGTGAAGAGTTTCAGAATTTTTGTAGTAATATTGGGTTCATCGCATGTAAGTGGGTTTGTATTTCTGTTGATTGTAGGGGAGTAGATCGGAGTTAAAGTAATGGTACATGTATGAATCATTTGTGTTTCCAAGCGGACTTGCAAAGTGGACAGCAAAGCATTCGTAATTTCTTCCGTCATTTAAGAGCGTACTCTGTGTGAATGATGTGCGAATAAATAGATCTATTGATGATATTTGCTTTTCTTTTTTTAAAAAAAAATTTCTGAAAATAACGAGGGGGGGGGAGAGGGAAAAGGCTTTTTGAAACCTCGCTCCTCGCAAATAGGAGTAAAAGCGTTTTTTAGTAGCGTTTAAAAATATTGTTGAACAGAATCTGATACCGTGTGTGGTCGAACGCAACGGTGAAAATTGCTTGGGGACTTATTCAGATGAGGGGGCACAAATTTGGGTCAACTACTTTCCAGCCTTTACATTTGAGTTTTGGCTCATTCAGGGGTAAATTATGTTCAATTTTATTATTATTTATGAGATTTTTGTTTAGTTTTGTCCTTCCTCCCTTCTAAGCAAAGTTTACCCCCTTACAACAATCCCTGCCCCCCCCCACCCTCACCCTGAAAACATCTCCGGCCGTGGGAGCTGCAATTATGGTCTATATAGACGTACCGTCCGTTCCGGGCTGAAAGGCCGAAAATTTAGGCTGCTGGAGGTGTACCTTCGATTGCTCCGGGTTCAGAGGCCGAAGCTACGGCTCCAGCAGCCGGAATTTTCGGCCTTTGAGCCCGGAACGGACGGTATGTTTATATAGCCCGTAGTTGCGGCTCCTACGGTCGGAGTTTTTTTTTTCAGCGCACTATGGCTTTTTGGGCTGAAATGACGCTCCTAGAATTACTTAATTAAATATCTATTTGAATCTCAAAATCCGTGTTTTTTAATAAATGAATACACTAGGAATTACCCAGCCGATTTTGACGACTCAATGAAATAACCCCAACGGTGCGCATTGAAAACCGACTTTATTTTCATCGATACTATCGCACAAATCGGAAGCAACGCGATAATATCCAGGAATAAGGCGGAATGGCATTTAAATAGACGCCGGGATCCCTCGAGCACGCGGCACGGGGAGAGAGAGCTGTCGTACTTAGGAAAAACGCCGTATGAGCCTTCAGGCGTTGCCAAATTCCCATTTACAAAACACGAATTTCCTGATAAACCTATAAATATTTTTCTTCTAATTTTTCAGATAATGATGTTGTTTGCAATTTTACCCAAAGTTCCTGAAAATTTCAAGGGAAAATGTTCATAACTTTCCTAAAAAATGAACATTTTATTGAAGGAAATTTGGCAACTCTCGAATGTTTATACGTCGTTCTTCCTTAGCACGGCGGAGAAAGCGTCCGGGCGTGAGAGAATTTTTCGACAGGGAGTGTTCAGCAGGTTCAGTGACATCGCTCTGCATCCCTGCGGAATACTTAAGCATGGCTTCCGTAAATCCCTTCTCCATTCTGCCCCCTCCCTTCGAACTTTACGAGGCGCATGATAGCCACGGATCTTGATTTCTCGGACGACACGAGTAGCGCTTACTGGATCCTCGGCAGTTTTCAAAAAAAAAAAAGAAGAAGCGAGTCATACTGCCGTGCAAAGGAAGAACGCCGTATGAGATCTCAGAAGTTGCCAAATTTCCTCCGATATAAACCGAATTTACTGAGAAAACTGGGAATATTATTAAAATGTTTAGACAATTATGGACGCGATTTTATCCAGAGCATCTGAAAATTTCAAAGCAAAATATGCATGAATGTTGTTAAAAAACATGTTTTATCAGAAGGAATTTGGCAACTCTCGAATGTTCATACGGCGTTCTTCCTTAGCAGGGCAGTATGATCTGGCATTCTCGTAGGTTACTAAATTCCCAAGTTAAAATCGACTCTTGGAAATTCGTAGATTCATTTTACAATAGATGAAAATCAGGTATGAGTGACGTAGAAAGTGTAGCAAAGAGTGATAGGCTATAAATTTCATTTGTTAGGTTCAATCTGTACATTTCAGAGACCATCAACTACTATCAAAAGCCAAAAAGTCGAAGCGATACTGTCGAAGGCGCTCTGAGCAACTATTCCACCTCAGAAGTATTGCACAGTATCAAACGCATTTGAAGGCGCACTAACGTACGTAAATTGACTGGTATCGTTCAGCGCTGTGTACCTACTGATCCCACGATATGCTGCTCCTGTTCGAAAGATTTTTCTGAAACTTGGTACCGGCTGAAGCTTTTTGACGAGGCATTTGAATTTCAACTCACATTTTCAAAATTCGAAAATCCAATATTGTGCTTGTGGCCCAAAATAATATTTCGGCCCTGTTCGATCGATTTTTTTGGTAAAACTTGGTGCTTGGGTGTTATTTTGGGTGTAAAATTCAAATTTTCAATACTCCAAGATGTCATTGGTGACCTAAGATGCTATCTTGGCGCTATCCAACTTTGCATTCGATATACATGCTCCGTTTGTATAGCATTTTCTATTCGGTTTCGAAATCGATGTACTCTCAGCTAGTTTAGACCTCGATATTGACGCGCACGTGAAATAGGCATTGAAAAACTTGAAACGTGCGCAAATTGAGGCATGAATGCATTTTGTTTCACTGTCGGTGATGAGGAAATTTATAACTGCAAAAGTGCCAGAGTATGATTTCAGCGGAACATAATCGTGATCTTCTGCCGTCAAGTCGAAGTGATACTTCTGAAGGGGATACTCTGAGCAACTATTCCGCCACAGGAGTATTACACAGTATCACACGAAGATGCAGGCGCTCTGTCGTATGTAAATTGACCGGACTATTGACCGAAGAGCTTAGCAATCTGTTTAATTAACGAGATAAAGTTTGAGAAGCAGAAGCCTGCTTTGCAAAGTATTCAATCCGACATTTAGCCATTATAAAGGTTTAGGGGGATTAAATTTTCATCAAGTCGTTCATTAGTCATCAGTATGCGCTAAAAATAGTTTTGATATCCAAGCTGACCTATTTTGCCTCTTCGATACTGTTTGAACTGTTCAGTGTTCGTCCACAAGTGCATAACGCCAATTGAGAGTGAGTAAAAAAACAAACAAACAAGCATTTGCCGGATCAAGCATAAGGGGCCGTCCATAAATTACGTAACGCACTTTTCCGGTATTTTCGAGCCCCCTTCCCCTGTAACGCTTTTGTGACGTAGGTCCCTATCCTTTACCACGTAAAAACAAAATGGCGTATAGCTCTCCTTGACACCCCCCCCCCCCCNCAAGTCACGTAATTTATGAATGGCCCTTGACAGCCGTTTTTACAGCGCAGCTTCGCGCTCTGCGACACCCAATCCCCATTGTCCCCCTATTCTCACACAGACTATCAGGCAATTGACACCTCCTGATGGCCTTCTCCATTCCCAGTCGCCAACTTTCCACAGGTCGTCCACGTCAAGATTAATGCCAGAGTCACATGCTGAATTTGGCAGCTGAATATGGAAGTCAACAGTCGTCGCTCAAAGGCTGAAATGTTGCAAATTCGAGTTATTTTCATCCAGAGTTGTATCAAATCCATTCGGATAGCTCAGAAAAATCCGACATTATCCGATGGTCGCTGAGCCTCGTTGCTGAATTTGGGGCGACACGCGCAAAATTCAGGTATTGGGCCGATGATTTTCACATTCAAGCTAAATTTAGCTCCCATATTCAGCGTGTGATTCCGGCTTAAAAATCGAAATCAATCACTTACCCCCAAAGCGTTGTTGTGGCGCCCAACCGGTTCTTGGCGGCGACTCCATAAGCTGACGATTAATGCGAAAAGGACGATGATAGTGGTGATAGCTACGAGTAGTTTTCCTCGAATCCGGGAGGTGGCGCTGCCTCCTAAGAATCGCCGGATCGCGTAGAGTTTGGCCGACTTATCAGGCCACAGCCGGAGCTCCGGAAGACTATAGACTTGCATCAGTCGTTTTTTGATCTCTTGAGTTGAGACGCAATTTTCACTGCTAAGAGCTGAAATTTTTCTGCCGCGCGAGGTTTTCTGACGCAAACGCCACCATCGAATACGCATTTTATGTCTCATTTTCAATATTATTTGGCGAGCTGTAATGCTAATGGCCACTTACTTAGAAATTTTCTGAACAGTTGCACTTTTAGAGCACCCCACCTTGCAGATTAGTCACAAAAATGACACATTGAAACATGATGAAACTTTTTAATCTATGAAAATTTTACACTATGATGCGAATGTAAGTTTTAATTAGTACGGAATGGAAAATTCCCCATCAAATTTATTATTTAATTTTAGTTCAGGTCATTTGAAGAGCGTCTTTCACTAATGTAAATGAAACCATCTTGGAATACTTAGCATGAATTTGTATGTAACTAGTTTGAAGTAACTTTTTGTGGCTCCAATAAGTTTGCCTTGTCACCATTAGAGGTTACATTTTTGAAAAGCTTGACTTCTAAATGCATGCTTTCAAAGTTCTGATAAACAAATGTTATTTGTTTTTTTTTCCTATTAAAACTGTTTAAAAAAATAACGATAGCTCTATTACAAGATTTGGCCGGCTACTTAATTATCTTACTCAGTCAAAAAATTCAGATTGATTGTCGAAGGGCGTGGTCTAATTATAATTCATAATCAATTTTAAAATATTACCATGTTGGAATTTTGGTGAAAAAGAAAAATGAATTGAATGTGCGTTTGATGGAAACCACTCGTAAAATAATCACAATATCACGATTTAATGATCTCTTATAATATATTTGAGAGACCAATTGTCTTTCCCGCCGAAATAACACAAATAAATTGCTCGTAATCATGTAAATCAAAATAAGGAATGAGCAGAATAAATGAATTTTATTTGAGTATTTACTTAGTTTTATGATTTTTTATATCTTATCTTTAAAGTTACTTTCTGCACACCATGCTGTCTGTGATGTATAATCGATTCCGTTTATTTTGATCGTTTGCTACGTTCCCTTAGTGTTTTCGTCTTATGTGAAGGAGAATCTTTGCAAAAATTACACTGATTAACTGTATTTAGAACACGTGTGATTTTCTTTGAGATCCAAAACACGTGCCAAATCAGAGAGCACCTGCAAAACGCGAAATACGAGGCGCTTTGAGTTTCGGAGAGCAACTGACTCGAGAGTCAAGGGTTCGCTTAAGGGTTGAAAAATCCCTCCTACTCAACCCTGCCTCCAAGTGCGAGTGTGCGCTGAACAATTTCTTCCCTCGTCTTTACTAAAGGTGCATTCGGAGCAGTGGCGTGGCGTGAATTGCGATATATCGATTGTTATGCCATTTAAACCTATGATAAAGAATCAATTATTAAGGTGTTCGCTGCGAACACCCTGCTTATCAATCCTTTTCTATAGGTTTAAATGGCATAACAATCGATATATTGCAGAGCACAACACGCCACTGATCAGGAGTGATACATATTCACTTGGAATATCTAATTGTATCACGCCAAAGTTGCCACGTAAAATTAAAATAAAAAAGAATAAGAAAAAACGAGCCTCGAAGAACTAATGTCCTGATACAGAGCTGATTTGTGCATAATTTCGATGGCTAAAGTGCAAAACCACATATCACCGTTTGCAACGGTGCAAACTTCCTGTCATACTTTATTTTTTACTTGAAAAACTAGTGAACATAGTTTCTTGAAAATTTCATTGATATTTTTTTTTCCTCGAGCAGAATATTCTATATGATTTTCAAACTTTAAAGTTAGCATGGTTTACCTCCTCCCCCCCCCAAAAAAAAAAAATTGAAAAAAGTGTTGTACCGAAGGTGGAAGTAAGTGCCATAGCAGATTTCCTGAGGCGACCTGATCTTTTTTAGAGACGACTGATCGATGATCATCTTTATAGTCTTAATCATTCGCTTTTCTTCGTCCTTAAAATAACCCTCTGAAAATTTAGAAAATGTTTACCTACTTTTTTTTCTCTTAAAAAAGTGAAGTAAGAACGGAAATCTTGAACAATACAATGGAAGTGTTCTCGAAAAATCCACTGTTGGTTTTTTTTTTTTTTTATCTCGCCAAATAAGTCTTGCGACGTAATCTTTAAGTCACTATACTTCGAATTTACAAATTAGATTTACTCTACAAAATGCCGCGTTACGGTAATTTTATTGGTTATAAAAATACCGCGCACCTTTCCATGTTCGAAGGAAGGCTAATAGGTAAAATTAATTCCTAGTATCCGCAACTCGCCTGAAATTCTGCGGATGCAATTATTCCTACACTACGGCTATCAGCGTTGCATGCAGAGGTAAGTGAAGGCGCTCTGGTTTACATCACACTCACGCTATCGATTGCTCTTTCTTTATATTCAAGCGTTTTCTCGGTCCAGCTCAAACAAAGGGTTCGAGAGAGTTCCTACAGTGACACTTCATCTTGGCGGAATCGTAGGAGACAGAAAAAGCAGTTTGTATCCGGGCTTGATCCAATTAGTGCTGTTAATTTTATTTTGGAACCAATCCAACGAGTCTGCAACCCCAGAATCTGTAACAAATGCACCCTACGGATTTCGAGACCATCCCTTGTGTCGTTGCAAGCAAGATGCTGCGAGTTGAAAACAAAATTGTATCTCCCCGACCGAGAATTAGCTAAAAGACATTAAAATTTAACGAGCTGATGCAATCCGGATATCGATGGTAAAATGTTATCGTGAGCGCCAGAAAGCTCGAATTAAAATACACGAATACTTGACATTGCCTAAGTGCTTTTGGATTGTTTTGCACAAAAATGTTTGATAAATCCGGAGTTATGGTGGTAGTAAGGAATTATACAGAGGATATAGTTTTGAGAACAAGCTACTTATCTGTACAGTTTCATCTGTCAGGATCGGGGCTAAAAGTCGTCAAGTTAAAGAGCAATGTTTGATGTAATGATAATAATTGATGTAAAATGCACATTTTACTTGCCAACTTGAGTGCAAGAGGCGGTTTTTACAAAAACTCAAATTTTGATTGTTTGGCGTGACGCAACAAAAATCGCTCCTCCGAAAAATTTTCTTTGCAGGTAGGTATTGAAGTCCATTTTCACGCTGTAGCTCGGCATTATCATGCAACAAAGTATCTAGATTTTATTTTGTTGGACTGAAAGATTCAAATAAATCCATTCCTCAAAATAAAAAAAAAGTTGAGAGTTTTGAATTTCATAATATTTATTTAATTTTGGTCACTGAAAAATTGCGAAGAAAGCCGGGCTAACATAAAAATCCCCAGGTTGGAATTCGGCAATTGGAATTTTAGACAGCCCAGCTTAAATCTTTGACCAAACAGTTATTGCTGCACGTGGGTAGTTTTCTGGCCTACCTCGAAAAATTGAAGGCGAAAAATTGTGTATGCGAGCTCAATTCTATTTCGTTTTTTTGCAATCAGAAAACGCTTCTGAGAAAATGTGATGTTTTGAACATTTGCAATGCGCCAAACCCCAAATACTGAGAGTTGAAATTTTTCAGATTAGGTACATTGAAAAAATCGTGAACACTTCACCGCAGGAATAATAACCTCACATAAATGCCCGGGAACTGAGAACTAAACACGCATAAAAACAAATGAGTGGCCCACCACAACTCACGCCTTGCAATTGGCGAGTGAGATACATACTTCTACCCCTCTTCTATCACGTTCGTACTTTATGCGTAAAGTTAAGCTAGAGGGAAAAGTTTTGCATGGAAGCTGTTCAGAGCTGGCAGCTTTACATTTCGAGTGTGCAGACCAGTTAAAAATGAAGGCTGTATGCTGTACGGGGCAAGCTTCCTCTCCGTGTTTTTTTTTACATCCATAATGAAATTTGAAATAAAGACCTAAAGTTAGGTAAACATTGTAGCACCATGTTGTATTCTGTTTTTGTGTTCAGTCTCGTAAACCTATGTCCAGAAATAAAGAAACAACTTAAAACGGGACTAAAGCCGCAAATAATAAACATAAAATAAAATAAAAAACCCGGGACGTTTCGCAGGGATCACACCCTCATTTTCAACCGGCAAAAACAAGAAAATTATAAGAATTTTTTTTCTTCTTATAATTTCCTTGTTTTTGCCGGTTGAAAATGCGGGTGTGATCCCTGCAAAACGTCCCGGGTTTTTTATTTTATTTTATGTTTATTATTTTCGGCCTTAGTCCCGTTTTAAGTTGTTTCTTTATAAATGTTTCGGGCCGATTAAGTTGTTTTTTCTATGTCCAGAAAATAGTAATTTTTAACATCAATAATGGTAATGGTGTAACACTTTTCTAAAAATGTTTAGGTTAAGATCAAAGTTAAACCTACCCATTGCCTCTCACCGGTATGAATTTTCTTAGCGATTGGAAGTTTTCGTTACATAATTTTGAACAATCTCCAGGATTTGATTGACTTCGTCGTTAACGGGGATCTGGCTCCTCATATTTACTGATCTCATGTCTATCAAACGAAACCTATCTGGTCTTTCGGTAAATTAAATAAAAAAAGCACACAAATATTTGTATGTACATTTATTTACAATAAAAATAACATCTCATGTGCCAAGAAAACCGACAAATTGGAAAAAAATAAAAATGATACCTGTAAATAAATTAAACTGTCAACTTCTAAACGTATAAATAACATTGGAATTAAGTAATAACTTATACGAATAACAATAAATTGAATCCAGTGGCGTGGCGTGCTTTGCGATATATCGATTGTTATGCCATTTAAACCTATGGAAAAGGATCGATAGACAGGGTGTTCGCAGCGAAAGCCTTAATAATCGATTCTTTACCGTTGGTTTAAATGGCATAGCAATCGATAAATCGCGATTCACGCCACGACACTGATTGAATCAACCTTTGCCGTTTTTTCCTTCACGCTCATTCCCACGCTTCTTACACAAATTATTCTTCCTGATAATTTATTAGAAGACGCCTTCACGAGTTTTTCTACAGTTTAAAGCCCCCTTTCCTCATAATCAAAAAGATTCGTTGATTTGGAAAGAGTTTCTCCAGACCCGACCTCTAGGTTGAGTATCAATTTTACCAAAGGGTTGGTTTGCTCATGAAAATGTATGCTTAATTCGTATTTACAAGCAACGAATCTTGTCCGGTAAAATATACATAATCGAGAAAACGAGACCTCATACCTCAAAATTTACCCATTTGTTATGCTTGCATAACCTCCTCCCCCTCCATTGGCAGAGCCCCCAATGTGACTGTCCCGCGCCTATCAGCCCTTGTAACACGACCCAACGGTGCTGTTTATATATCGAGGTCGAATGCTGTGATTGGTCCAAGACATCGGATAAGCCAATCGCAACATTTATGACTTTGATATATTGATAGCACCGTTTGATCGTTTGACGTTGAATATTGCTCACATCTGAGGATCCCAGTCTGCACCTGGATTGTTCAGAATAAAGCAAAATATTTCTTTTTTATCATAAAATATTGGGTCAAGCAGATTTTAGTAGATGTAAGTAAGTATCATTTAAGTTTATTTTTAGCTTCGGTCACTTTGTTCGGTCACTGGTGGTCACTGGTGGGAAAGGTGATGCTTCTCTCAATTATTGCCTATTTGCTCAAGTTTTGAAAGACTTAGAAAGTGATTTTGTTCAGATATCTGGCAGTCATGGTGAGTTTTGAATGGTCCAAGGAAGATGACCTGTAATAATATCCCGAAAAATGACAAGAAATTAATTTTTAAAAATAATCAGCAAATGAGGTTTACGTTTAGAACAAAATATGTATGCAAGGAAAACATTTTTGACTTATTTAAAATTCATCTCTGCAAACCTATGGGTACGGAATTTAAAGAGACGTCCCACGGTGAAAAATATGTACTCGCATTCAATAATATTTTTAAGTTACCAAAAGTGTAAATAATTTTTTTTCTGTGTGATATTCTTGTACCGCCCTAAGTATTCTTTCAAATTATTTTCGCGTTGCTGATTTGTTGATTTTCTATAGGAAGAAGAGCAGCAACTATTTAATGAGATAAAAGTAAAAATAAAACTGGAGAGAGAGAGGGATATGATCAGAGCACTGCAATAATTAAAAGTATGTACGTAAATTTTTGGTTTCACTTGCACGGCGCCCATATTCTGCCACAAGCCATACCCCTGTGCCCTGCGTAAACCACCAGAAATCAAGATTGAGATCATTTGGACGATCCTAATTGGAAGTAGCCTATAATTTGTGTTCTTTAAATATTACAAACACCAATCATTCGAGTTTTCGGATGAGCAACATCCTTGCCCCTTATCATTTGGTCTTCATTTGTCATTTCTTTGGTTCTGACTACAGTCTCATTAAAATTCTATAGAATGTATATTGAAATCGGCTGAATTAATGATTTCAAAGCTTATCTATGTGAGATCAATATTCGAATGGAGAAAAAATCTAGAGTCAGCTGCGATTTTTTCTAGTCGAGCTTCAGACAGCCTCAGCAGGTGGGTGTCAACAATGGAATGGATGCTATTCTGTCTGCAAGTTTTCCCTGACCTTCAGCTTTGATGATATCGTATACGTTCTAGTGTTGACAAACATACTAGCAGTGTACTGCACCTGATGTTCTTTAACTTTCCAGTGTATCGTATACTTGCGTTTTTTAAGAAAAGAAATGTAGCGAGAGGAAAAAGTTTGTGACTGCATGCTAGTCAATCATGTTTTTTCTCATGAAAGTAAAGTTTTTAAGTAAAAATAGAGCCTACTATCTAATATTTCTTCTTCTTCTGCCTTCTGACTAGGGCCGTGACCCTGTTTGTCTAGCCTCTAAAACAGTAATATGATGCCGATGAGAGAGATCACTTAATTCTCCGGGGATGAAAGGCAGCTCTGTGCCCATCTCTTGGGCGGTCGTCCGGGTTGCCTTTGGCTATGAGGTCGTCCTACCATACAAATCTTGGCAAGCCTTTCCCCCTCCATCCTCTCAACATGTTCCGACCACATTTTCCGGCGCATCTTGGTCCATTTGGCAATATCTTGAATTTGGCACTCTTCGCGAATTGACTCGTTGGTCTGCCTATCTCGGAGCGTAAAGCCTGCTATTTTCCTCAGGACTTTCATTTCTACGGTCCGCAACTGTTGTTTAGTGCGCTTCGTGTCCGCTCGGGTCTCCGCAGCGTAAGTCAGCACAGGTCTTACAACCGTTTTATAAACTCGAACTTTGCTCTCTTTAGCCATGTTTTGATTACTATCTAATGTGATGGTTTAAATGACATGTGAAAGAATACAAATGAAGGGGAAAAACACGAAAAAAAATTATGGCGCAATAAAAATGATAGTTCTATGATTCCCAGCAGTCATAGTGTCGAGTTTTGAATGATCCCAGAGAGTTTACCTGTAATAACATTCCAAAAAATACTCGTGCCATTAAACAAGAGTATGACAAGGTATGAATCAAATACCACGCATTATTCACGCAAAATCACGTATCTCGATTGCGGTGTTTCAAAATTTTCACTCCCAGTTCATTTTTTTTTGAAGAGAAACAATTCAGCTGTATAGCATGAAATTTATACTGAATATTCCGCTAACAGAGATGAAAAATCACGGTAGTTTTCAAAAAATGACATTGATTATGATGTTCCAAAGATAATATAAAGTACTAGACGAGCTTACGTTTCACGAGAGAAAAAACAGAACATAATATAATTTTCACTAATATATTTACCAGACTTTATTGTGCTATACTTTCATCATTGCACCAAAGAAATCACATACCTGCCTTTTGACTTGTGATATTAAATATTTTCTGTCGAATATCATTTTTTCGGAAGACCTAGTGGGCTTCATTTTTGCTTCAAATTCCGTGTGATTCGTCAGGATTGTTCTTTGAACGTCAAAATTGGTTTTTCCAAAAGAAGAAGAGGGAGAGTAAGAAAAAGAAGAAGAAGAAGAAATCCAAACATGGAAGAACTCATTACTTAGGTAGGTTAAAGGAAACCCTACATATCATGCTAAAATGCTTAATTTGGCTTTACTCTCGAGGGCCGGCAATGTTGTAATACATTTAATTAACGTATTTCTCGGAAAATTGACAATATCGCCTTAAAAATTAGTTTTGGTTTACTTCATTGGCACAACAGATAACGCTTGAATCAAGTTAAGATGTGAGAGAAATATTCAAAGCTTTAGTAACTGTCGCATACGATGGATACCGAACGAATTTCATCACAACGCCTGGATGCAACTATTCGGGCTCCATGGATGTCCGTGTTGCATACGCACGAGTGTGAAGGCGTTTTGACTTACGACACTAACCGCCTCACCAGCGGCGCTTAGTGGAGCGAGTCAGTAGAGAATTCGGACAAAATGTGGAGACATTAAGATGGTTATTGAGGTGGTTTCATTTATTTTCTCGTAAAATTTCAGCACACAAGTGCCCTATATGATTTATAATGAGAAGAGATTAACAGCATTTGCAGTGTTAGTCGATAACTTCATGCCCAACCTCTCTGAAAGGCTCTTTTCATTGTTTTGCGGGCTTCACTGCGAGGATCTAAAATGACAGAATGCCTTCATTTCTTCATTTATACTTCAAAGACATATTATAACGAGACCTAAAAAATTTAGGGAGGTGACCCGAGAAATTTTTACGACTTCGCTGGGAGCGGAGCCGAAAGCTGGGAGTGAATGACCGCGCAAAGCAACAATTAGGATGTTAGTCAACGAAACCTTTCTTAAATTATCTTTGAAAAAAAATCGAGGAGTTTCAAATGTTAGAATCTGATCCAGTGGCGTGGGGTGCTTTGCGATACATCGATTGATCTGCCAATTAAAAGTATGGAATTTGATCGATTAACGGGTGTTTGCAACGAACACCTTGATAATCGATTCTTTACCATAGCTTAAAATGGGGAAGTATCGATGATCGAACTTGATTGAACTTGGCCAATTCGCAGACGCATATCGCTGTGCTGGAAAAAAAATCTCGTGAGAATCAGCCTGAATAGCCCGACCCCACTGGTTTAAGAGCCCCAGTTTGGACGCAGGCTAGACACTGAAGCAAGTAATAAAAAAGGCCGTGATTACGTTATAAACGGGATTTCTCGATAACGTCATATTGGCTTTCTTAATGACGTGTTCTTCCGTGCTAAGGAAAAACGCCGTATGAGCCTTCAGGTATTGCCAAATTTCCTTTGACAAATCACGAATTTTCAGGAAGATTTCTCTTCCGATTTCTCGGAGGAGTTTGTGCGTAAAATCGTCGCCCACCTGACATAAGGGCGTGACCACACTCTGCAATGAACCCTGTGTAGTTTCGCCCATACATATAGGGTTATTCAAAAGTCACGCACCACTGGCCATAAGGGAGGTTGCCATTTGAAATTTTTGAGTTGCCCCCCTCCCCCCTCCCCCGAGGGGTTCAAAAACTAGAAAGTACCTAAAAAATTTCCCCTCGGTATGAGGAAAAACGTCTTAAACTGCAAGTCGACATCATAATTATAACTAAAGTTATGGTCAGTGGTGCATGACTTTTGAATAACCCTGTATGTCAGCTAAGCGACGATTTGATCTAAAAAGTTTGCAAAATTGCAAGGAAAAATATTCATCGTTCTCTTCAAGAATAAATAGCTGCTGAGAGGAAATTTGGCAACATTCAAATGCTCATACGGCTCTTTCCTTGGCACAGTAACGCTCTGATTGGCTGATTCGACCTCTGGACCAATTCGAATAGAGATAGCGCTGTGCACACCAAAATCGGCTTAAGGTGTGCAAACATACTAAGAAAAGCTTACCTTAAGTTGCATAGTCATCCGATGGAGGCTCTTCAGTTCCAAGCTGCAGCAGAATTCCTTTTTACCCTCGAGGGGGGTTGCCAACGTAGTCGACGATGTACGGATCCGACTGATAGTTAATAACGATTGGATCCTCATGTCTGACGACGAATTTAGACGCGTTGACCCTCTGCACCGTGACCGGGACGGGGAGCATCGATGCCGAGCCCCCAGGGGGCGGTGCACCCACCGTGAACGTCGAGGGATGATTGTCCGACGTGGGGATGCTCACTTTCGTCGACGGAAGCCCAGGGAAGTTGTACTGGATCGAGAACTGGTGTGGGACCTGCGGAACTGGCTCGAATTGTTGCGCCCTGTTCAGAACTGGTTGCGCCTGTTGTTGCGGTTCGAATTGTTGCGCCTTGTTCAGAACCGGTTGCTGCTGTTGTTGCGGCTCGAATTCCAGCTCGCAGTTCTGAGCTTTGGTTTGCTCTTTCCTGCCCTTCTGCGATTTTAGTCTGGATTTCTGATGGTGTCTCGGATGATGACGGTCGCTCATGACAACCGGTTCGACCGCCTTGCTAGCAGCGCGCACGGACGGGAAAGTGGCGGTTTCTGGTACTTCCGCGCTGAGGGCGTGCTCGAATTCCGGTATCTTGAACCGGTTCGAAGGGCGAGTCTCCCTCTGAGGCTCGGTGGAGAATTGGATTGGGATGTTTTGGGTGATGAGGAATTCGTTAGGTTTTCTGGCTGCATTGACGCTCCAGTTTTGGTTGGTGGACTTGGGGGGAGAATTGGGGTGAACTGGTTCCCTTTGCGGGGAGACCACCCTCCACTGTCCTCCGTCGAAACTCGGTTGCTCTGATCTGGGGCTCTCGATGATCCTTCTGTTTTGCGTCGTAGTAGGGAAGTACTTGGACAGATCCGTGGATTGAATGACTCGAGGTATGTTGGACAGGCTGTACTTTTTGTCCTCTAATTCTGAGAGGGGGTACTCAGTTTCCCAAGACCCGGCTGAAGACTCGTGGTGCCTTGAATTCACAGTGTAGGCAATAGGCATTGCATCTTCTGCACTCTTGGGACGCGTGATGCTTTCTGACTGCCTTGATTTTTCAAGGTCGGCAACAGGCATCGCAGCTGGTATGTTCTTCGTCGGTGTGGAGTTCTGCGATTCATAGTGCCTTGATTTCTCCGGATAGGCAAATCCACTCACGCCGGGCTGCGAACTTTGTACGCTGGATGGGTTTTGAACGAAGTTTGAAGCTGGAACCTCTTTATCAGTCGATGGAACGAAGGGTGGATTTATAACTTCTTTGGGGGAGGTCTCGCTGACTGGTGAACAAATTTCTGGCTCAGGCAAGCCCAAATATTTTTGTACAAAACGCATAAATTTCCTCGTGAGTTTTCTTTCGGCCTCTTCTTCCGATCCTACGTAGCTTAGCTGCTCGTCGCTGTTTTTGATTTGGTCCTCGAAAGTCAGAACAGCGCTTTTCAACTTGGATACGATATCATTCACGACCGGATCTTCTCCTGAACGACCGGAGTGAGGATCTAAATTCCGGAGTTTTTGTTCCGGAACTCTAGATTCTGCAGCAGGGTAAGAGTTTTGAGATGACGGCTCTGAACGCGGTCCAGTTTTCCCGACAGGGCTACAGACGAAAGTTTCCGGCGAGCCGGAATCTTTCGAAGGGATCTGCAATGTAAATAGTAGTTTCTTTCCATCCCTGCGTTCGTTTCGTTTGACGAATTCCTCCTCGTCTGCGGTCAACTGAAAGTTCGCAGGGACTATGGATTCTTCAACGGAGTCTCCATTGATAGACCGCCGTTCCGGAGCACTTTCGTGGGCCTCTTTTGTTTTTTTCTCCGGAATTTCTTCAACAGCAAAAATCGGATTGTCAGATTTTAGACTTGCTTTTGCGGGACCGGACTCCGGAGAAAGCTCTTGTGAGGTGTATTTTTCCGGATTTGTGTCAGATTTCGGACTTGCTTTTGCGGGACCTGACTCCGGGGAAAGCTCTTGTGAGGTGCATTTTTCCGGATTTTTCACATCAGATTTAGGCGTTGAAACCTTGGGTTTATCTGCGACCGACTGGGTATTGATTTTATTTTTGGACGCCGACTCTTTTTGTGGTTTTCTCCTCTTTAGCAAAGACTTTTTTGCAACCGACTGGACATTCTTTAGCGGTTTCTCACTTGTTACGAAAGAGGGTGGAAATTTTAAGGGCTGCGTAGGTTTTGAATTTAAAAGATCACTATGGTCAAATGTTTCATGCACATCATCTGCCAGGACTGTCCTTGAGTTTTGACTGAATGTGAAAATTATATTATAAATCACAAAAATCAGTAGCACCTCTAAATTCACGCACTTCATTTTAAAATATGTTAATTTTAGAGAATTTTTGAGAAAAACAAAGATGATATCATTTTTTTCCCCACTTCCGAGTCGATGAAATGCTAAGTAAACTAATCTCACAATTTATCGCAATTTCAAGCACTTTGATACCTAATACCTTTTATTTTTCTAAAAAAATTTAAATTTAAAAAAAATTCAAAATGCTGTGCTAGAAATTAAAGTGGTCCCTCAAAACTTGATGAAAAAAACCTACAGATATTTATGTTAGAAGAAAACACGCACGAAACAGGACACTGTTCAAGTTAGAGAGTTATCGACGAGCACGCAAAGAAGCAAAAGACTAAACGCAATGTAGCATTGCGGAGAAATTCTCATCACAATTTAGACTCACGTTCAACCCAAACACTTACTCCAGAAACACTCACTCGAGACAATCTGAGAGGAACTTGAGACGGTTTGAAAAATCGAATCAAATAAAAAGATTTAGGGGGCAAATACTAGTTGGAAAATCTGGAAAACATCGACTGTTTGTCCCCGAACTATTCGCGCGCTCAGAATCGAGTTAAGTTGCGCTGCACGGAGCAAAGCGCTGCGCCAAGCAAATCAACAATTGACCTCACTTCGCGAATGCTGTCGTCCGAAGAAAATTTTGGTAAACATTTATCTCGGCTCTGCAACTGGTCCGAGTTTACGCCCGATGGAAAATCGTAAACAATGCGTTGAAAAATTTTCAAGATAGTCTGCTCATCTGGAGAACCATTGCCTCCACAGTTCATTCAATATATGCCTCAGCTGGAGCTATGCTCGTTCGATAACCGGACACTTGCAACTTTCGAATGATAGTTCTCGAACTTTCGTTTTCGGTGGATGTCTCTGGCACAATCTCTGTCATTGTACAATACCTTAACGTTGGAGGAAAGGACCCTTGTGTTCTTTATGAGTTGAAAAATTTTAGAAATTGGATACCTGATTCCATTGACTACAGATCCTCATAACACGGTATCCAGCATGAAGTTTTAAGACTATGTCATCTTGAAAGTTAGCAAATTTCAAGAGAGAGTCGTTATCGTAAGTCAGGATAGGCCCAGATTATTTTATTGTATTTTTATTTATTTATTTTTAACGCAAACCAATTTTTTATAACTCTGTGCAGAAGAAGAATATAACATAGAATCTTTTTTAAAATATTTGTCTTCTAGCGCTTAAAATCCACATTTTAAGTACCAAAAAATACCTTCTGTAGTATAAACTTTCCCGTGACAATATACAAAAAATGTAAATTTTGAATAAACAAAATATTAATGGATGTTTATAAATTGTAATTTGAGAGTAAAAACACCTCGAAAGTATTTTCCTCAAATTGTACGCATGGATAAATTCCTCTCATTTTTCCTCAATGAAAATAATATATCAACCCTTAAAACTGACCTGGCTTTTACCAGATAATGGACCACTAGACAAGGCACGAATTTCAGCATTCTGATACATGTGTCGTAACTAAAATTTCACGTAAAACACGATGCGCACAGAAAAAATTACCGCAATTAACTCCTTACACGGATATTTCATGATTCTTGATGCGTGAATTCAAACCACCCGCTCATGAAAACGCAATGCTCTACGTGATTCACATCGCGCGCTAAACATTATTATGACAGTCTCTGCGATATACAAATCTGGCAACCTCAATCTTGACTCTTTGGCTCAGCTACAGCAAATTTCTTATAGTTTGATAAAACACATGGTGGGAAATGAACATTGCTTTATTGAGAAGATTGCTGAAACCGGTATAGTGCGCGATTTGACTCACGTAGAGCTTCGAGTTTCTTGTGAGCGGGCAGTTCAAATTCCTTGTAACCAATGTGAAATAAAAAGGTTAATATCTCCTTTAGGAGTTGGTTTCAGTCATTTTCATTGCGCGAATCGTGCTCTGCGTGAAATTTTGGTTTAGAAAAATGTATCAGAATCCTTTAATTTGTACCTTGTTTAGTGGTCCATTTTAAAAGTCAATTGGAAAAAAAGTTTGATTGTTGCATTAAGAAATCGCGTACTTCCATCACGAGTTTCGATTCTCCATTTATTTTTTTTTCTTGTGAGGAGTTACCCGTACAAATAGATGTCAAATCATTTAACTTCCCGAAACGTATTTTTTGGGACACTGCTAAGAGTTCCCTATAAGCTGCTGTTAGATTGCAGATCCTGACCTGAACGTCATTCTTCTTTCAGAGTATTGGTGGGTATATCTAGTTCGCTCTTTGCACTCAGTTATGCTTAAAAAATGGCGCAATCGAACTACAATTAGGGGCTTGGAGGACAATTTGGATAACTGCAGTTTTTGACAAATTTAAGATAGTTTTGTTTTATCCTAACCCTAGGTAGTCTTGAAATATATTCTGTGAAATATTGACTACTAAAATCTAATTTTTAAGCATCAAAGAGTGAGTTTAAACTTCCTTTCCGACATAAGGCCCCATGTAATTTTGAAAATTCGAACACGCATTTCTTGAAGTAGCAAAAACTACACTTATGTCCTCCAAGCCCTTTAATTGATAGTATATTGGACATTGTCGAATGTTAAAGATAAAAACAGTCTCCCAAAATCACTTAGAGCGCAAGTGTTCTAAAAAAATTACGCGTCGAGTCGGCTTGCGCTATGCCGCTAGATTATTTCGTAACTAAGAAAAGCAGGCGACAGGCGTGCATTACGTCAGAGTTCATGCATTACATATCTCTCAAATTCAGAGTAAAACGCACAATAAGTTGAGGAAAAGCTCTGTTTTGATGAGAAATCCCGACATGTCTTGCGGAATTCTAATCCAGCCTACCATTTACACGTATTCTCTCGCATGAGCAACGGCATGAAACCTTCAATATTGAATCTGTTATCAAATCAAGGACTTTGATTTAAGTAAATTGAGTTTTCTGTGATAAAAGTTTAGCGTGCTTGAAAGAATCTCTCTTTAAAATATTTTTTTCGTTGTATAATTGCTCGGTCAGGTTTTCTGTCAATGCCAAAATGTTAGTTTCAAAGAGGATACGTATTATCGCAAAATCTTGAAATATATAGTCGAAATTTAAAATCCCGATTTCCGACCCAACATGAAAAAAATCAATCGACAGAAAATTAATTCCTCCGTCTTCTGATGAGAAGACGGATTGCAGAATTTCGAACATTCCTATTCTTCTCATTCCTTGAATTAGAATATATTTGGTGATAAGAAACTATATTGTTACAGTTGAAACAGCATGAGCACCACTAGTTTTCGTATGCAGATAGGTGTTTTTATGAATGAGGTAGAAATATAATTTCTGATTGCAGAAGGTAATCCTTTTGATTCAGAAACAAAGTATGCGCAAGCAATTGAGGGGCTTGGAGGATAAGGCGCACCAGTAGAGTTTTTGAACAAACTGAGATATTAATGATTTCAAGTAAAACTAGTCTTACTGCATATTCTATGAAAAATTCGCTCTAAATATTCCAATTTTTAAGCATCCAAAAGTCAGTTTGAACTTTTTTTCCGCCATAAGAATCCATGTAATTTCGGAACTTAAAACATGTATTTCGCAAAATAACAAAAACTGCACTTAAATGCATGGATGGACCAAAAGTAGTGTAGTTCCTTATTGCAAAATGTAGATTGTAGGCCACATATGATCTATATGACGTGCCAATTCACCTTCAATTATTTTCTGTGCCCCGATATATTCTCTCCACTCTTAGGGCGAGAGTATGGCATGAGTTTCTAAAATGAACCAAACATTGCATGGATCAGTAATACACAAATGTTACAAAACCAACCCGCTGGGAAAGAAATGACCAAGGCTATCTTCAGTTTCAGCAGTAAAAATTAGTTGACAACAGCCCAAATAGACTCATAGGAAAAAAGTCTCCCATCCTTTCCGCTGGGAAACAACTTGATAATCTTTTACTTGGTGGTATGTGGGTGGAAGAGGGGTTTTGACAGGAAGACTTAGTTACTGAGTTACATTCAGATTTACCTGTGAAATCCAAAAATTACCCTAATTTTTCACCAACGGATACAGATCTACCGGAAAATGGAACTAGACCCGGAAAAGCTCGATTGTTGAGAGAAAATACCGATTTTTCCGAGTAAAACCAACATAACCCAAAAAAACTGGAGATTGCGTTTGGAATCAGCCCTAAGAGTCTAGCAAGAATCATAGTTTTCAAGTTTTTGTCATGTCTGATAAGAAAGGTATTTGTTATGATTACCACCGGGTAATCCTTAAGTTAAATAATTTGGATTAATTTTGTTAAATTTTATTTTTTATTTAATACAAATACGAGTCGATTCTGAATCAGTAACAATATTTGAGCGATATAATGATCAATTAATCCTCCATTCATTCTGTCTTCCACGTTGTATATTCTGTATGAAAAAATCGTCACCTTCCCGGCAAAGTATCACAAGCGCCATTTTTACCGAAATTGAGTTATGAATAGTTCCGAAATAACGAGATGCATTTACATACGAAAATAATCATTTTTTTTTTACAACAAATATGTAGAAATATGAATAAAAGTCGATTAAAGTTGATGTACTTTCGTATCACAAGCGCCATTTGGGAGAAAAGTATCACAAGCGCCAAGTTCGGCAACCGCCTACCTTTCTGATTGTTTTACAATTTTTGTCACGGCAGTCTTCGGAATGACTTGAAACTAAATTATTTTCGCATGTAATTACATCTCGTTATTTCGAATATAATATTTTTTTTAGACTAAATATAAATAAATATTTAAAATACTCCATTGAAGTTGACGAACTTTCGTATCACAAGCGCCATGTAAGAGAAAAGTATCACAAGCGCCAAGTTGGGAATAATCGCTCATCTTTGAGATTGATTTTCGATATTAGTATCAACAACTTTTGGAATGACTTGGAGCGATTCGTCACTTTTCGGCCGAAGTATCACAAGCGCTATTTTTATTAAAGTTGAGTTATGGGTAGTTTTGAATTAATAAGATGCATTTACATACGAAAATAATATTTTTTTTTAGATTAAAAATGAAGAAATATGGAAAAAACTCCGTTAAATTTGATGGACTTTCGTATCACAAGCGCCAATAGATTCTCAGAGTGCCCCGAGAAGCCGATATCACAAGCGCCAATTTTCCAAGAAAAACCCGTTTTTTTAAAGAAATTTTATTAATATTCGAAGCAGGGAGGTGTGCTGGATCTATATTTCAAGTTTCAAGCCAAACATCCGTCTTTTACGGTCGCAATTCAGTTTTTTGTGTCTCTTGAAAAGTTGGCAAAGTGGCGCTTGTGATACTTTGCCGGGAAGGTGACGAAATGACGGACGGGGAGTGGTCGGTGCGCGTTTTCAAATTTTCCCGCTACTATTTGAATCTCGCTGCTGTTGGCGGTGCGCGAAGTGCCGTGTTTTGGCGGGAAATCGAGCAAAACAAAAACATGTCCCGAAGTGAGGTTAGGTGTATCCTGGGACTTTGTCATCTTATCTTAGATCTTTTCTACTTAAAGTTTAAGTTTCAATTTTATCTGTTCTGCGGTATTTCAGCGAGAGTTCTTTGATACAAATAGTGAGCGTGAGCTTTTTTCATCACCAAAGTTCCGGTCATGTTTTTTTAGATAGAGTAAATTATTTGTGAAGATCTGGGACCACCATGGACCCAACAAACTCCATCTCTGAGGTACAATCCTAATTTCATAACATTTCCGAGTGGTTCCAACAATTTTCCATTTTTTCTTATCACCGCAACATCCCCTCAAGTCACTATTTTAACTGCAACTCCATTTACTCAACAGAATATTCCATTATTATGTTGTCGTGCAAGTAAACCGTGAACTTTTTTTTTTCGTCAGAACTAGCTGTATTGGCTAATCTTACGCAAGCAAGATGGCTTGTATTGATGACATGAGCTGCTGTATCTTTTTGCTCCCCCTTTTAGTATAAAAAAGTATATATTGGACCCGCCGCTTCTTATTAAAGGTATGAGCTGATTGTAAGATTTCATAGCCGTAGTCCAGAGTATGGACTGTTCAAAAATTGCAGCTCTTCACCTCAGGTATCAAACTGCCAAAGCAGGGCAATGTATGGGTAGTCCCTTCGCTTAGGTTATCCTCAGTCTGGAGCTCATGACCCATTTATGCAACAATTTTTATCTTTACTCTCCCTGCCTAATTTATCATTCCTAGCCTGTGTCGTTGAATGTCCCTGCTTAGCCAAGCAAAACATCAAACAAGCTTTGTCTTCGGAGATTTCAAGACTTAGAGATTAAATCTTGTGGTTGGAATGAAATGTTTTTAATCAAGTACCCAGGATGCCTCGGAACTGAAAATCTTAACCTCGAGGTTGAAATTTACCACACATTCTAAATACCTAGCAAAGTTAACAACAGGTTGAACAATAGCAAGAGATGACAGATGATAGTACCAGGTTACTAAGAAAGCAGAGAGAAACTAGATGCCCACTCTTTTAAGTCTTTGTCGTTCTGGCAGATTGCAGAACTGACTTTATATAAGTATTATGCACAATCATACTCTAGCATGTTTCTTCATCTTGAACATTTTTGTGTTCTTAACATATCGACGGTGTAAGTCGGCAATCACATAACTCGTTTGCGGTGTCTGAAAATCTCCGCCTCCATGTTATTTTTTTAGAGGAGAACAAATTGACATGATTCCTTGTAGTTTATGCAGAATTTTCTTCGCATAGAGAAGAAAAATCACTGGAGTTTTAAAGAGTAGCCGTTGAGTAGTTTTCCGTTAAAAAAATAAAGTGTGATAGGAAGTCTGCGACGTCGCAAATCGAGTTATGTGATTGCCGACTTACACCGTCAATATGTTCTTTAGCTCTCATTGTATGTCCCTTTGTAACCATTTTCTACCATTCTCTTTCAGGGAGTTTTTGCATTCAATCCAAAACCAAAGAAGAGTGCAAAAAATAGAAAAACACCGAATGAATTCGCCTTCTTCAAACAAAATGACTGGTATAAGTCGTTCGACTCTGTTTGGAGTGAGATTCACCAAAAAGTTGTCGTAAGTTTTATTATCGGTACTCATGCTTGTTGCCAACTAAGCCAGCTTTTGATTTTTCAAATGGCATAATGTTTTTCTCTCATTCGTAAACAGACCATGGGTTATGAATTATTTTATTCTTAGGGACCGAACAGGTTAAGACAATCTTTTGATAGAATTTTATTTTTTCCCTGAGACAGGACTCAAGCTGGAGCGTTGATAACCTTGTCCAAAGCAGCTGGCAGAAACAGTGTCCCTCTATATCCTTTCAATCCTGCCTTCCTCTTAAAACACAAGTACAAGAAGTATCCTCCTTTGCCGCATCCCTTGGTTCCAAAAAGTCCTCAGGGTGACATTCAAAGTGGAACTGTAGTAGGAGGGTGTCCCTGCTTGACAGCGCAGTCAGCTATAAAATGACTGAAACTCATCTGCGATCATCTTGATTTTAATTTTTGGTTTTTATTTGACTTTGATTTTGCCTTAGAATAGTGTGGACCCAGCACTATTCCAACATCCCCCTACACGCAGTATTCAGGCAATATTTTCAAAGATTTTTTTGTCTAGATGGAAAGTGGGGTATTTGTGCTTTTCCTGTTGAAAAGCAGGCAGTTGCGTCCAGATACTTACACATCTTCAACCTCCTGATAATCAATTTTCTCTATTGATTTCCTTATTCTAGTCTGGGGTTGTTCAGCAGAAACAATAGATGGCATAAGGATCGCTTTTGGGTACCGTGCCTTGTATTGTGCCCACAACAGTGTATTACATGCTGTCCAGGATTTTGCATGGGTGTAATCTGAGATCTGATTGGGTGTGACTGCCTCCCCCTAAGTATTACTTGTCATGAAAAGACTTAACCGTTTGAAAGGAGTCAAGAGTATTTAGGCTCTATGACAATTTGAGAAGCTTCACTATGCACCACCTCACCAGAAGTTCATTTCATCACAAGCAACTTAGAGGTCTGTAACCCAATGGTTTACAGTTAAAATAAAGGTGCCTTTTAGATCTTACCTAGTACACTTAGCATCTAATGAGTTGTCAAATAAAAAGAGGTATCACCAGCAAATGTGTGTTATCTGTACTTGGCTTCAATAAGTTAAGTAATGAACTTTTTTTAAATATTAAAATTGGAGGGATGATGTTTAACTTTTTGTTTGTGTTTCAGGAGGAAGAAAACAAAATCACATCTGAGCTACAGTCAAAAGTCAATAAGTTTGCTCACTCAGCCGAATCAAGCACTGACACCATTCCCACAATAATTATGCTCACAGGTACGGTACAATTGCTATTGCAATACATTTGTACACATTTCCAAATTCGACTCCGTTTTTTGTTCTGAATTCACTCTTCTTCCTCCAAGAAGAATAAAAGAAATAGAAAACGGAAATATACTCAAGTCAAGTAGAGCATTAAAATAATTTCAGTACAGTTTACAATTAAAGAATTTTCCTTGTGTCCCACATCTTGCTCGATAAGTCTTTGAGTCCGACATGTCAAGACAAAAGTGTAAGTAGAAGTGTAATTTTGCCAAACAATACATTTTTGACCTTTGAAACAAATTAGATCACTTCAAATATTTGATTCAATCTACTGGATGCAAGTTTCTCTTGTGGGTGAAAAGTTTGAATCATCTGCTTCTAATGTACCTAGACAATACACGCTAATTTTCATTTTATGAACTCATCTAAAAATTTTTTCATTTGTTCAATTATAGTCGAATGTGAAATTTTGATGAGAAATCATGTTTATTAGTATTTTACTCAGCCTATCCAGTGATCCATTTCCTTTTTCACAGACCCAGAATAATTCTGCCTCAGATTGGCAATTCGTTTGTAAGTGTTTTTGAAAAAAAAAATGTTTCCAATTTCCAGATTGACAATTCGGTTGTAAGTGTTTCGAAAAAAAAAAAAAAAATGTTTTCAATTCCAAATTACATATACTTAAACCGCATTTTATGCGTGAAAGACTTAAGCAAAAAGCATTTATTTAAATTTATTGACAAGCATGTATTGTCCTTTTTTTACAGTTTGTACCAAAAAAATTAAACTAAAACTGTGTCATTGATGTCATTGTAAGGTATCACCGTATTAAATCAAGACTTGCGAATGCTCTCCATTCGATTTTTACTGGAAGCTTATAATGTTACTGTACCTACACGCATTTCAGAACCTCACCTTACTAATTATTAATATTGGAACATTGATAAAATCACTTAAAAGAAATTTTGTCCCAAGATAAATTTGCTCCCAAGAACCTTGTTGTGTTGCTCTTTGTATTTATTCAATACTTTTTTTTTTTTCCTTTTTTGTAAAAGTGTGAATTACGCAAAATTAATTTTGTGGCACTCAGCCCATCATTGATGAACAGCCTTCAATGAGCAAATACAATTTTGTTCTTTTTCAGGTGTGAATCTGTCCGACCACAAGCAATTGTTCAAAAATATTGATGATTACATTTTAAACAATTCAAAATCATTCACAGCAACTTTATGGGCTGACAGTTGCACAAACATTCGCAACATGATTGAGAGTCTCGTGTACCAGATTGAAACTACCGGGGGTGAACCAGATTCAGAGGTACAGTGGTTTTTTAACTTAAAACTTAATGTTTTCTTTTGAATTTTTATGTCTTTTATGTATGCCTCATTAAAGTGCAGCTTGTAATTTGGTGTACGCTCCATTCAATATTTCAGGCACATTGCATTTCACTAATCGTGAATTGTAAATCAAGTAATATTTTCTGTATACTCTTTTATTTTTTTCAAATAAAGAATAAAAAAAAAAAAAAAACATCAAGGAAAGGAGAGTTATTGCAATGCTAAATAAGACTCAATGGGATCAGAGAATCTCCAAGAAAAATAAGCGAACAATTTTTTTTCTCCATTGTGAAAAGTATCGATTCTATGGTAGGGGAGTGTGGCCATTTACTGAGCAAACTGAAGACATTTTAAGGGCAATTGAAATAGATAGCGATTCTGAGACTCTGTTTGCTTTTATGATTAGCGCTGATGTTTTTTCAGATTTTAAACGCCTTAAAGCTTTTTCTTTCCAGTCTTTTTCATGAAATTCCTCAACTTTTTCCTGACCTGATGAAATTTTCTTTTAGTTTTGAGTTTTACAGACCTGTAGACACTCTGTATAGGTATCGGTAAAAAAATGAGAATGTGCTCACAGATTTATAAGATACCTACATACTTTTATGACTTTATAACTGAGGAATCTGATAAAATATGTTTTCCCAGTATTTAGAACATGATGAAGATAGCGATTCAGAAGAACACCAGTACATCAGTATTAAAAGGGCAAACCAGACTTTGCCCCACCTTGTAAATTGGTTCAACAATCTGGAAGCCAACCAGGCGGAAGAACCGACCAAGAAAAAGTCCAAGACGGAAACTGAAATCACAACAAGCCCTAGGATCATTATCATTTTACCAGATTTTGAAGCCCATGACGAGAAAGTTCTCCAGGATTTTATTCTGATTTTAAGGTGAGTAAATTGTTGCAAGCATGAGAAAAATGATAGTGTTTTCTTTAATTTTTACATTTCCATGTTTTTGTATACTCAAGCCTCATTTGGTCACCTAACGGTCAAAGTATCACAAGCATAATTTCTGCCCCGACTCTGTGTTGCTGGACATCTCAGTAGTGTTTTAATTTTTTCTTGAAAACTTTTGCATATACTTCATGAAAATTCCATGGATTAATCTTGACGACAAACAAAATAGAAAGCATTTTCAAGTGATTCTGCTCATCGGTTTTTCTGAAAAAATTTAACTAGTTTGGCAACGTACGTAGTGCCTAAGCACTAATGACACTCGTGATACTTTGGTTGGAAGATGACAATATAAGAGGAGTTTGGTGTCTTTCCTAAGACTAAGGAAGTGAACCTTTTTTTTTGTTTGGGAAATTTTGGTCAACTTTAGAAGGTAAGTTTTTTTAAACTTTTCTTAGGTTTGCATCCTCAATATAAACAACTGACATGAACGTCTCTTATTGTAACAAAGTTCCTCTGTCAGCAAGCAATCCAAAAGAAGAAAGACGTGCTTCTTTTACTCCCTTTTTATCTGGCAAGAGTTCGGATACATGCTAAAGTGGATAGAAGGACAGGAACTCCAGAAGTGCAATGCTGTTTTAAGAAGTAGGCATAGTTCATGCCAACACTTCCTATATGAACATAAGCTCAAGGAAAGATTGTCTGAGTCCATCTTATCTAATTCCACCTCCTCCTTTAATTAGTCTTCAGAGCTCAGGTGTTTTTTTTTTCTTTCTTTTTTTAAAAAAAGGGCATTAATTTTTTAAAATAAAATTCATCAGCCACCCAAATCCAAACTGTGCAAGGACAAATTTTGTAAGTATTTACAGTATGATTTGAATGAATGAAAAAATATTTTGTATGAATCTCTGATTAATAGCATCTCTTATGTTCTTAGATCATATTGTCGTCTCCTGCACAAAAGAATGTATCTAGCCTGTGCTGTTTCAATTCGATATTTCTACGAGCATTTTATTTCTTCAGGGAAGAACTGTCCCATGAATTAGTCTGAAAATTTAGGAGTCTTTTTTTTTACTAGCATAAAGAGAGAAAATTATCCTACATTTTAGAAGAATTCATGTGATGGTTTTCCAAAGAACAAATAAAATTTATTTACATAAAGAATACATAAACAGAGAGTTATGTTACTTTGTGTGAGAAACAACAGTATCTGTGAAATCAGAGAAGTGTATCTTTTCATCACTTAATCTGCTATGTTTAGGATTGATTGATTTTTAATTCTATGAATATCTCATGAACTCTGGAGCATCCCTCAGAAAAGAGGGCGATCAATCATCTTAATAAGGTATTTGTCTACTCTACGCGAGGGAATAGGGAGGACACGGCACATAAGTGCAGTTTTTGCGATTTCAAGAAATACGTTTTTAAAGTTTCAAAATTACAAGCAGAGAGGAAATTTAAACTCACTCTTTGAAGCTTTAAGGTTGGATTTTAGTTGTGAATTTCTCACTGAATATACTTTCAAATTATTTTTAGTTGAGTTCGTGAATATCTCAATTTTTTTAAAAACTGCACTTATGCGCCTTGTCCTCCAAGCCCCTCATGCTGAGTTTTGAACAGTTGAACATTCTTCCTCTTCAATAAATTTTAATCTATACTTCTCCCTTGAATTCCTTTACTTCAATTTTTAAAAACATTCCTTTACTTTAATTTTTAAAAACTCATTTTCAAGCTTACAATTTCTGTCTAGTAGCAACAATTAAAGTTTTTATGAAACTAAGATATTCTAAGCCAATATTCATTAAGTTGGGATAATGGTTTCCAATTCTAGAGACTCATAATTAGTTTATTTGTTTCACTTGGGCTGTGTCTCAGCAATGATGAATTGGAGCCATCGATTATGAAATTGTATTTTTTCTAAAAAACCCTTTCAAGTGAATTCATTTCTTGATAAAAACTCCTAATTCACTACTTTGGCTTCACTTCTAAGCAAGCAGCTTCAGCCGCGCTGCTCCACCAAGATATTACTTTGATTGCATTTTGTGAAACATGAACCAAGAGCATTCCAATGTTGCTAGGATTGCACATTTTAAATTCTTTGCAATGGAAATACTTAAATTATGTAAAAAATAAAATGACTTATACAGGTAATTTTCGTCTTGACATTATAGTTTCGTGGTAGTTAAAATAAAACTTGTTAAGATGATCACTTTGAGATTGCAAGGTCAAAATAGTTAAGTATACAATCTTAACGACATTGGAATGCTCTTCATTTCTTTTTGCAAAATGCAATCCACTTAGCACTGTTTTCAGCTATGGGCACAGTGCATTTCATACACTCATTAATTTATTTTTAATACTAATTATGACTTAGAATTTCCATTTAGTGTTCTTGAGAGTTTTAGGAAGCAGTTAGCATCAAAAACAGAAAATGTGTAAACAGATTTAACGTAAGCTTGAGTCTTGCTCAATGGTTTTGTTTGCAATGCGGAGGAAGTATATTTGTTCATAATTATTCTTTTGAACGTTTGTCCCTAGTCCAGAGAGGAATACCAGCTGAGTGATTCTTGTTGCGTTATGGGGGGGGATCAAGTTTTGAGACTTTGGCACCAAACTCCATTCAGTATCCTGAAGAGTAAGTTCCAAGCAGTTCAGGTTATTCACGTGTTGTCAGATATTATAAAGTTGCGATACTTATTAAGCATTTCTGCTGTATTTTGTGGCTCTAAACACGGCAAATTAGAATCTCAACCAGTTATTTGGACTGACGCTTAGTTTGACATTTTTTACTGTTTTGAATCTTAAATGTTTGTGCAAACACTCCTCTTTGGTTTAGTATCAATAACTTAATTTTTGGCATCTGTCGACTAAGGATCCCTTTATCATGAGGAGTTACTTTTCCAAATTATTTAAGTCATCACTGTTAAACTAAAGGTAGCAAACTATGTGCAGCTAAGGAGGGCAAAATCGAGGGTATCAAATTTCATAACTTCTGAGCTATCAGGGATATCGACGGTATAAGTCTGCAATCACATATCTCGTTTGCGGTGTCTGAAAATCTCCGCCTCTATGTTATTTATTTTAAGGCAAACTAATTGACATCATTCTTTGAAGTTAATGCAAGATTTTCTTTGCACAGAGAAGAAAAAGCACAGCAGTTTTAAAGAATGTCCGTTGAGAAGTTTTCCGTTTAAAAAATAAAGTATTACAGGAAGTCTGAGACATCGCAAACCGAGTTATGTAATTGCTGACTTACACCGTTGATATGTTGATTTTTATGGAGATAATGTAAGAAAATATCCAATACTATTTTCAGGTTCAAAAACAGATTTATTCAATAAGCGTAACAGTCAACTGAATATCAACAAGTTGGAAATACTTTCCAATATCCTGTGGATAAATTTGTTTCGCTAGGGCAGGGTATGCCTCCGATTATTTACACTATTTACAAGTTATCTATTAAGGCCCCCCGTGTATCACTAAGATGGAGGATCACTGTCAGTTCTAAGCTTATCTTTTGAAGATTTCTTCGTCTGTTCTTTCAAAGCTTCATCTAAACGTTCTTTAGCACTGACTACTTTTGACTGAATGTAAAACGAGCCACCTTTGGCCTTGTCATTCACATCAAACAAGTGTTGGTACTTCCTCTGGATTTCTTGAGGCTCTAAATTGTCAACATCAAGTATCTGCTTGGCTTCTTCTAAAGTTATTCCCATCTTGGCATTGGCTGCGGCTCTAGCAGCACCTTGAGCACCACCTCCTCCGCGTTGGGCAGCTTGCTGACTCGCTGCGAACTCTTGTTTAAGGGCTTTGGCGAAAGCACGACCAACCACTCGCGTACCGAGGACCACTATCTGAACTATGTATTTTGCCATTTAACACTTTAGTTTATCTGAATTGCGAGAAATATAATACTTCATGACAACTTGATGCAATATCAACCTTCGTTGTGTTGTTTATTAATTATCTAACCTCACTTTTCCCCGTCCGTTTGACATTGGCAACGGTTTTTGGTGTGGTCCCGAATGATGCCTCCGGTTTGGCGCGAATATTCAAAATGTCGCGCCTGTACTCAGACGAGCGCAACCTCTTTTTTTTATTGAATAAAAGTTGATATGCACCTAGCTACGTATGAGTCGGTTGTATAATTATGTTGTAAAAAGTTCCTAAGGCTTAATATAATGAACGTGGGGCGTATTAATGAAGGAATACTGCCGCAGTCAGTCAAAACAATTCTTTCCATATAAGATCAACACCATTTTTTTCCCCTCCCATTTTCTGCGAATTGATTTAAGTACCTATCTATGTTTTTATTTTCTTGAACATTTCTTTGATTCATCTTTTCACATTTCTGATTTGTTGAACTCTTTAACGAACACCAACACCACTGAGAAGTCATCCAGTAAAATACCGTATCATGTTTGATCGCAACAATTCGCCCAAAGGTTTTGAAAATGGAACTTAATGTGAAGGGATTTTTGACCAAACCTGTAGAAATTGGTGTTGCTACATTGTTTGCAGCCCAGAAAATCATATGACTTTGAAGGCATTTTTTCTCTGAACTCTCGGGTGTTCCTTGTGACCAACCAGATAGAGCAGATTTCTAGCAGCAGTAAAATATGAGTAAATCAAATTGAACTTTCTTACCTTCTAAGCCTCCTCTTCCGCAATTCTATCACCCATTTTTGACACTCACCATCATTTGGAATTCCTGTCATTTCAAGTCATTCTTTTCATTTGAGATCCTTTGCTTTTAGGTTATGAAAATACGTCCCATTAAGTCTTTATTTTACCATTTATTTTACCATTTTCTCACCATTTATGTTTCAGTGGATATGGATCAAAGCTGCCCATTGTTTTCATATTCGGTGTTGCGTCCATGATCTCAGCTGTCCATGATACTCTACCGAATCATGTCATTTCGAAACTGTCGCTTGAGCTTTTCAAAACCCCACGCTCAAAAGATTTTCTCAATTCCACTATCGACTCTGTTTTTCTTACACCTGACTGCCCTTTCATGATCAGTGGGAAAGTACTGAACTTTTTAAACGAAGTATTTTTATGTTATGATTTCTCGTTGAAAGGTCTCATCACATCTCTAAAGGTGAGTGTTTTATTAATTAATTTTATCTCCTCAACTGAGAGAATGTATTTCCTATTGATTGCCCCTCTGATAGACAGTGGATGTCACTAGAGAACAAATTTTGCCTTGACAACTGACTGCTGACTGCCTAACAAATTCTAGATGGGTGTTCCTGTATTCATTCCAAAAGCGCTCTGGTGCTTCGTACATCACTTGAAACTATCTTGCGAAAAGATTGGCTGGTAGCATTGACGTTAAAGATCAGTACAATACACAATTCAGTGAGTCGGCATCTCTCACAATCTAAGGCCATCATTTGAAAAACAGTTTACATCTGATTTTTTGTTTGTTTGTTCTTCGGTCTTCACATCTTTTCTTGGGAGTATTCCGGGGGTGGTCTTGCACCTCTTCTTGGAAACCATTTTGAAGTCGTATTTTAGTTGAATAAAAATCAGATTAATATCTGTAAACAGGAAGATTATTAAGTGTGAAAAATACACTTTTTCGAATGATTATTCTGCACATCAATTCATGTGAGTTTAGCAAATCATTGGATACTGATCAATGGCCAGTATGCTAAACCCAGCATCTCTCTTTGCCACGTCGTATAGTTCCTGTCATACTTTAAAAAAAGGCAAAAGTTGAACAAGTTTGTGTAAGATACTGAAGCGGCCTCCATTCTCGGGTTGGGATTTCTATAGGCTTGACGCGGTCGCTACTGCTCCTAGTAATTTTTCCTCAGTAAACTAGTCAATGTAATGTCTTTAAACCGTCTTGATTTTATTATTTTTTGGCAGAATCTTCTGTAGAATTTTCAAGCTATAGTTAACGTTGGCTTGTTTTTCTTTGAAGAAACAGGAGCAGAAGTTTTGAAGCAATGCAATAATGTTAACTCGGTTTCGGACTTTAGCCATCTATGTAAAATGAACTACATTTTGCAAGTAGGAATGACAATTTTCGTCTCAGTTTAGAAGAAACGTATGTACCATTAGTTTCCTCAAGAACATACCTAAGTGTTTTTACTGATGAATCAGAAATTTTATGTAGTTCAAATATTATGTCTCTTGAAATGTAGGCTGAAATTCTTCTCTCCTAACTTTTTTCCCCAACGTATTGACTTAACAAATATGCTATGATATCTATTGAATGTGCCATCTGATCATTGTCAAACTCATTCAGATAATCGGAGTATAAATGGTGAGAGTGTGGCTGGTCACAATAAATATTTTCAAAATCATAATAGTGCCCCCATCCTTTCAAGGAGGTTTTTGTAATAAAATAGCGGGATTTCCAACTTATTTCTGAACTTATAACCTTTGCTCTCTCTCTCTAAATCCAGTAATATAAAAAATAATGCTTTCTTAATACATTTTACATATACTTCATTTTTTATTTTTCCAGTTGATACATATATCTACTCCCTGTAGAGATCGCCCAAGACAGGGTTTTAAGCTAATTTTACAATAATGTCAGTAATGATACATTTTTGAGTTTACAGTAATTGTAACTGAGTGAGTTTACAGTTTTCATAATGAGTTTTGTCCAGTAATCAAGTCATCAAGACTTGAAATTAGTATTTTTAAAATTCACTATCATCCTTTGTTTCAGTTCTGCATCATGGATCACTTTTTTGAATCAGGATGTACTCAGTATTGTTGGCCTAGAAAAAACCTAGCAGATGTCATAAACAATTTAGCTCCAGAACAACTAACCAATCTAAAAAGAGTTCCTTCTTTTGCTGAATTAATTGAGAAGCGCAAACGCACTAATGATCCACCTCCTCCAAAAACTGCGCAAGATTACAAGGTAAATCGTTTTGACTCTGAAATACATGTATTTATTCTGCATTTTTGTCTTTTTGTCTCTTGCAAGTCAAATATTATATTTCCACTCAAGCCGATGGATGTATTTTTTTCTTTTTTGATGACCTAATATCTCCTCAATTTAAGCACAAACGTGTTACACAAACATTTTGATTTCATTCTTTCTGATATTTACCCATATTTGGACAATTATTTTAAATTAAATGCAGGGAGCATTGTGAATTTTTCTTCAATGCTTCGAAAGACAATGTCACTGAGAGTGTCCATTTTCTAAAGAGCTGAAAAAAGTTAAAACTGCCCCTCTGAGTTCTGATGCATTGAAATAGCATGTTATATTGGATTAACATCTGAGGTTGGGATCAAGGATAGCATCTCTTACAGGCCCAAAAATGTAACTTAGATGTGTGCTCAGAATATTGGAAAATCGAAAACAGATCGGGAGTCTTGTGTAAAAGAAGCTGTTAAGGGTTAACATACATTCCTTTTCTATGTAGTCTAATCATGCTTTTTTTCTTACAGAATTTAATCATTGAGAAGTTGAAAGAGTTGCATGAGTCCATCAAAGTGTTTTATGTCGGCCTCCACTGTCTGCAAATCTTGGTGCAAGATCTTCCTGAGAAACCGCTCGGATCTGATGTTGGTTATCATTTTTAACTCTTTTTTTATTTTTTAAAATGCATTTCATTCATTCCTCATCAAGTGAGAGATTTTGAATGCCTTGTTAAATAGTGCTGGGCATGGATAGATTATTCTCAGCTGAAGATAACTCCGCTGGAAACTATAGCATTTTCCAGCCCCTTATTTTCTCAGTTTCAAATGCTCTTGAAAGTTGAAATGAAAATTATGCTTAGCCAAGCATACTTTGATAGAATAAATAAAACATAACTTCACTATGACGTTTATTATCCTGGATAGTACTTAGTCTGTCAAGAAGCAGGTTGTTGACTGATTTTAATGATTTTATTTTTATTACATCAATTTTCATTTGAAGAAACTTGTACTTGAGTGAAAGTCTTTTCATTTATATTCCTTTTAGTGATGACCTAATGCCAAAATGTTTGTTGGAATGTAATGATAATTTAATGGCAGTGCTCGGGCTTTTATAAATTAATAAGCAATTCAACGATCAGCCGATAATTTTAATGCACTAGAGATTCTTAAAAAACTGATAAGCATCGGTACCCACAGAGGAGAGTCTGTTCAATTTTTTTTATATTTTGACAAATTTTCTTTTTTTCAGTTACGAGAACTATACATCAAAGCAATGATATCAACAATAATTGAAAGCAATGAGTATGAGGAGTGCATGAAAACCTTACGCTTTTCATCGAAACCAGCTCTCATTGAAAAATTGAAAAAAGTAAGCAATCACATGACTCTTTGCATTTCACACGTTATCTTCTATAAAAAACATAATGATACTATGACGTGGCTCAGAAGATCTCTCTGTCAAGTGTCAAATAAATAGAAAAATGAAACGAAACCAAATTACAATCCTTGATGGTGGAACGTAACATGCACCTGGGGCGTCTTTAAATTCCTCTGCACCAACCACAGACGCCAGCTGTGTACAAAGAACCTGCAGGACCTGTGTACCTGCAGGACCTTAATTTGACTGAAGAGGTGGTTGGCCCTGTTTTTTTTACCAGAATAGTAGTAAAATCTGGATGTAAAAACTTTTAGTGGACTGGCTGAAACCATATTTATTTCAAGGTTTTTGTTAAAATGAAATATGCAAAAGAAAAAACAAACAAGAAAAACAAGTTTACCATGTGAAGCAGCCTTTCAGTTTTATGTGATTATTCAGTAGCTTACTGTTGCTGAATCTGATATAGATTTAGATATTTAAAGAGGAAAAGCAGTTAGTGTGTTGAAAAAAAAAAACAAAAAAGATTGACTTAAAAATTTGTAAACTTAATTTTCGCAAGAGGGTATTCAAAATTGAGTTAGGTAGGCTTATCCTCCTAGAGATGTTGTGGTAGCAAGGATGGAATAGCGTCGAGAGACGCTGAGGCAAGGTCCAATCTGACAAACATTTACTAAATTTGTTTCTCTAAAAGCAACAAACATCATGTCATCCATTTTCAGTGAAGACTAGTTCCCTAAAAATAACAACTATTATGGCTCCTCAAACGAGTGTGCCTCTCTTGAATGAGCCTGAGATGTAGATTCTTATCTTGTGTTAACCAAAATAAAGACTGAGACACTAGAAATGTGAGAAATGACTTGTCCAATAAATTATACTGCTAACTCAATGGATTACATTTTGCAATAAGGAACCACTATCTCGGGCTCTCTCATAAAAACGCATTTCCGTGTAGGGAAACCAATGGCACATATGTTGTTTCTAAAATGAGCTAGAAATAGTGGTTCCTTATTGCAAAATGTAATCCATATGTAAGAGATGATTTGTCCCCCAAAAAAAATTGAAAAAAATTATTTTTTTTTTTTAAATTGTTATCAAATTATTTCAAAAAAGAAGAATGTCAATGAAAAGTGTTGGATAGTACATACTAACGAGAGGTATAAAACTATTTTATCCCATGATAATTAGTATCTATTATTATTTTATCAGAACAATTTTTTCTTACTCAAATATTTGCTCAGTTCGATTCTACGGAAATTCCTGTCTGCTTTAAAAATTTCTTCATGATGTGAATGAAATTTCCATTCGTTCGTTTCTGCACTTTTGTCATTAGCATTTAATTATATATTTTTAATTTATTTTTGTGAGCAGATACTAGATTATTTGAAGAAACCAGAGGTTCAATTACCAACAGTGGAAAATTGTCGTCGGAAAGTTGAAAGACTGCTGAAGAAAATTGAAACAGCCAGTCCGGAAGTAAACTCAGCGTCCGAGAGCCCCTCAAAAAGCCCAAGCAAGAAAATGCTCCAGAAACGAGGAGACCTCAGTCAGGTAAATACTGTAAAAAATTTTAAAACGCAGTCGTAAAATTTTGTTAATTCAATTCAGCTGCCTCATCTTTCTTTTTTTTCTTTTTTCGACGTATTCAAGCAAAGTAATGAAAATTGTCCATTCAGTTTAGACTATTCATGAAGAGCAGTATTGTATTCTTCTGTTTCGCCCAATGAAAGACATGTATTAGCCATGTTGATACAGTGGTAAAGAAAAGGTGTATTCACATGCACACAATTTGCTCATTCGTACGTGATTTACTGCTCCTTATTTGTATGAATAAGCCTGTTCAGTAATTTTTACTGTAACAGCAAAGTAGAGAGTGCACTTAGTTCCTGGGAATGTTCCCCGGTTGTTTTTGTTTGAACTATACAATCTCACAAAGAACAAGTGAGTCAATTTGTGTATTTTGAAGGATCATACTAACCCGCATCTCTGAGAAAGCCAAGATGGCGTCCAAATAAATTGCGGCAAAGACCTTGATCGCAAGTTGCCTCTGCGACGATTTATAGTTTGTGCAACCATGCATTGATAACGACTGCATGGAATTGGATCAGGGCACAGGCATTGTGCAATCAAAATCATGGCTGCAATGAGAGATTTATTTTTGCATGGCATACTGGCTTTCTTGACAATGCCCTTAAGTACAGGAGCTCAGAATAAGCAACTTTAAACTCGTTTTCCTTAGGTTAATACTGTCCAAAAAGTTCCTGAAAAATTCCCATGAACTAGTGCACTCTTAACTTTTCAAAGATGTAAGAACTAAAAATTTCTGAACAAGCTCATTGGATGAATTGCTATTGATGTGCAACAATATCCAAATTTTCCCCTTTTGAAATTCTTTTTAAAGTATGATGCAGCACTGTCTGCAAAACATCGTCTTTTCATGAACTGTCTGTATTTGGTTTTTCTTCACATTTTCAGTATTGCCTTGAGCTACAACAGAAGAAAATGAGTGAATTTGAAATTGTACGAGAAGAAGTTTTGAAGACTCTGACTTCAGAAGTGTTCAATGAACTGTTGGTTAAATTGACCAAACTTCCATTTCATGAAGAATTAATTTACAACAAAAGAAGTGCAGTGAAAGAAGCAATGATCGGAATGCCCAGAGGGGCGGTAGTGCGAGCTTTGGCAAACCCACAAAAGGCTTTACAGGTATCTACTGTTTCACTTTCACCTTTCAAAGGAGATTTTTTCCTTTATTTTAATGGACCGTAAAATTGGTACTTATTTTCTTCTTTACTCTCATCAAGAGGGAGTCACAGGTTTTTCCAGTGAGAACACGAGGTTCCTAGTCAAAGGAAAGTTAATTTCCAGAGGAAAAGTTGTGTGGCTAGCTATTTTCTTTACGCAGTTATTTTATGCTCAGCAATTTAGTCTTCGTGTTTCTGACTGGATCACAGTCTAACAGAACAGCACCACAATGTTGTACCAGATTTATACTTAATATGTGAATAGTTTAATACAATTACTCAAATGATTACCCTTTTTTTCTTGTTGGTTTGTAGAGTCGTCATTTTTATAAAACAATGTGCAATACAATTTTTTTAGTATTTAATGCAACTTTTTTGTCTCTATTTCAGTGTAATTGTTGTAAGCTGAGGGACGAGGGAGAAATTTTGAAGACAATGCCTGATATATGCATTGTATACAAACTTCACTTGAGATGGGCAACATTGATAAATGTATACGATTGGATGCTGGTAAGATATGCATGTCAATACTCAAATCAGTGATTTTGTTAAGTGCACAAGCAGATACCTTGTACCTACGCCTGTGGATTAGCCGCATACGCAGATAACCAGCAGGAAAAAAAAAAAAAAAAAAAAAAAAAAAAAAAAAAAAAAAAAAAAAATTGGCGTTTATTACATATACTTTAAGGGAAAAAATGAAAAAACTCAAAAATAATTCAACAAATCTAGCAGAAAAAAAATTTGATTTATTTCGGAAAAGTTGCTATAGTTGGATGCTTATCAGATAGTCGCGTTTCACTCCTCTAACTCGATGTCATATTCATCCTCGCTCGACTTTACTGTCTCCTATTTTTACAACTCTATCCTATCTTTAATCCGATTGGAATAATTGGACGTATTTCGCCAGACGGAACTATGTGCATTATGACGTGAGCCCTGTTTTGCATATATTCTCATGGGTCTCAGGGTTCATGTCTTAATGCACATAGTTTTGTTTGGCAGAAATACGTCCAATTCAACCACAATCAGCCTAGCTGTATTTCAAGTTGCCAAAGAACCCTGCACACTCCTTATGAAAATGTATGCCAAACTCTTCTATTAATACTGATTAAAAGTCATCATCGTGCCAACTTCCTATGAGGCACCGTTTTCGCTCGGTCCGCTTTTGGAAATTCAAAAATTACTTGAATAAATGAAGGCAGCGGGGCGATTAAGAGTCAGAAATATCTATCTTTCAGCACCAGCCGAAAACAAGGAAAAAACAGAAAAACCTCAGCATATTTAGGTACCACTACAATGCCGAGCGGTAGTCTTATCTACGATTCCGCATTTTCATTTCACCTGGTTTCACCGTTTAAATCAGTTCCTTTCCTCTCTCTCCCACTCTCTTTTTTATCACTCACCAGCCGGAGTTCTTATTGTAAAATTGCAGAGCTGCCTTCATTTATTCTAGTAATTATTGAAACTTCCATAGTGGATCGTGCAAAAACGGTATCTTGTAGAATGTTGGCGCAATGATGACTTTTGATCAGTATCCATAGAAGAGTTTGAATCAATAAAAAAATTGAAAATAGAACTGGGCACACATTCCCGTAAGGATTGTGCGGGGTGCTTTTCGCTCATGTTTTATGTTTTTTTACAAGAAAACTAAGCCACAAAATGCATTGAAATTTCGGTTGAATTTTTCCTTGTGTGTGAAAAATATACTCGCACCATCTCAAGACAGAATGATGTTTGATTTTTTTGTGAAAAAATTAAACATAAGAGAAAATTAGGAAATGAAAATTAGTTTCATTGATCTTGATTAATGCTGTTCAGTTGATCCAAAGGAGGGTTCTGTAGTTGTAATATTATAATCATAGTATTGAACCCTCAATACTGTCCACTGCACATACTTGCAAGGATTAAATTATTTTTATTTTGTGTTTCAGAGTTTCAAATCAATCGTTGAACCAAAAAGTGAGGATGATGAAATTAGCTCAGAGATTCAGTATCCTTTTTCATGATTAACACTGATAAATTACAGAAAAATGCCTCTTGTAACAACTTTCAACAAAAAGTTGTTGAATTTTTCAAAGAATTTTAAACTTGATTTTCATGAAAATGTAGGAAGTCATTCTTGAAGAACGTAACAAATTATGAAAAATATTAAAGATGAATCTTTCCACTTTTTTATGTTACATGTATATATGCGTGATAGCAAGAACTAGCACTGTAGGGTGAAAAACAGTGATAAAATTTTGAAATACAGTACTCTCTCTCTCTCAGTCTAACAAAACACCGACGGACCAAACAATCTTTTGTGAAAGAAAATGTTTTGTTATAAAGAGTGGTAATACCTAACCCAAGGACCAGATGATTCTTTCGTTGTAGAGAAATTTTCGTAATAGCAAGAGTTGTTACATATAGAGATTTACTGCTCTTTGATAAGACTGAGTCATTTTGGAATAGTCATTTTGTTGTTTTATTCCTCAGAAATACATTCCACTTTTCCACCATTCTCTGACGAAGAAAATCACGGTGCAAAAAAATTCTATATTCAGAATATATCTTGGCTGTTGGGTTGGGTGCATTTGTTTATTGTTTGTCTGATTTCAGTTTATAAAATTTCCTTAGCTAAATTTTTCAGTGCTCGTTTCACGCAAGCTGTGGCAGATCTCCAGTTCCTGGGATACATCAAGCACACAAATGTGAAAAAAGATCATGTTGTCCGATTGACATTTGAACGTTGACTTTTGCCTAGATTTTTTCCAAAAAATGTTTTTTTGTTAATTTTTATCTCAGGTAATTGTTTTGAATAATGATCTCTATTTTTATCTAACTTTTTTGAAGTTTCAGCAGAATCTTTCAGAGCATTAACTTATTAGAAGCGAAGGTGTGTTCAAACTTGTGCACTGCAGTTGTTCTAAAAAATTTACACATTGATTTTGTTGTTTGCTGTCCTTATATTTTATATATTTTAAATCCAACAAGACTTTCAAGTTACTAGATGGACTATAAGTACTTCAGGGATGCTCAAAAATCTAGGGCATCAGAGCAGTCTTTTGGTGTCAAAATTTGTGCAAACAAGGCTTTGGCTCCCACAACACTGTTTTGAACCTTTGTAGAAGTGCTTCTGTGATTAGATAAAGTGGTCCATCACTGTCTGTCTAAGTCAATTATAGGAACAAAATTGAAGAACCTTGAGAGGAGAATTTTTTAACACACCGCAACATCAGGACACCATCCTGCCTTTCAATCCAGAATTTTTCTTAAATTCAAAGTATAAATAAAAGCAGAACTTGAAGTTAGTGCAAAATTAATGTGCTAAATGTAAGTTTATCCCAGTTTTATGTTCTACCATTTTGCCATTGATTCTCCAAATCGAAAACATTTTGTCTTGCAGGGTCCTTAGAAACTAGAAAATATATTGATAGTGGAACTCCCAGACGATGTATCTCATTTGTGGTGTTTTAAAACTCCACCCACATTTTATTTTTTTTTGAACGAGAACAAATCAACATCATTCCTTGAAATTTTCACAAAATTTTCTTTGCACAGAGAAAAGAAATCGTGAACATTTTTAAGAATTGATGTTGCATCGTTTTCCATTTAAAAAATGAAGTGCGAGTCTGCTAAGTCCCAAATCAAGATACGAGGGTTTAGGAGTTTCATCATTGATATGCAACATGATTAATGTTGACTATGCACTTGTTTTTAATGCATCAATTGCTCAGGAATTTTCATTACCTTTATGTATATTTCATTTGCAAGAAGAAGAAAAATTAATATTTTGATAGTGTTGGTAAAAGAAAAGAAACGAAATTGAGATTCTCTGGATGAGTTATAAATTATTCAAGCGGACAATGTTCAATCCTCAAAACTAAAAGTATTAGTTCTGCCTCTGGAGCATCAGGTATTTCAGTTGGACATATTCCTGCTGAATGGAATTAAGTGCCAATTTGAGTACCGTTTGAGGGTTTTAGAATCCCAGATAGCATGTTTCGTCAAACGGAACTAAGCACCCCGGAAAAGCATTGTGAGCATAAAACGGAATGAGCTCCACGGTTTGCAGCACCTGCCAATCCAACCCCCCACTTCCTACCTCCCCCTATGCTCCTTAGTTTCGTTTCGCAGAAATATGTCCAGTTGTGACGTTTCACAGTTGATCAGTTTCAGTTTAAGCCTGCTTACTTTTAAGTTTTTTTCCTGCTCTGATTTTAACTTTGTTGTTTGTTTTCATTCATTTTTAGGAAACTGAAAAAAAGGAAATTCAATATTTTCTGATTCTGAATCAAGGATAAACTTGTAATTTTGGATTGTGTACCTGTTATCTCTAATTCATGTTAACCTTTCTTTTTATATCATCAAGTTACATTGACATTTTAGCATTCCTGTATTCTTTTTAAGTATCATTGTTAGATTTGTTATTTTTTAAACATTTTTTAAATCGTACTTTAATATATTGTCTGTTTTAACATATCTCCAATTTTGACTGGCAGCATTCAAAGCCCATGTAATATTCCTTGGTAGAAAGAACCTTCATGTATTTAGGAAAGTGATGTCTGTCAAGCAGGGTTGAAAAATTAGACTTTGCTTTTTTGATGAGAACCACCCTGTAGTTCCCTAAGAATGATATCCAAGAAATTTAGTTGGTTTGTCAATCGAAGGAAGGCTGTACTGCTGTTGCACATAAATCAAACAATTTTGAACCTTGTAAATGGTAGGTACTTGGTTCCTAAATAGTTTCCTTCTCGTAACAAATTTTCTTGAGCTAAAAACTTCAAACCATATCCGCTTTGTCAATGTCTAATGTTTGACGGCTTTTGTGCTATAACATATTTGCAGAACATCCCTGTAAGGTAGTGCCAATAATAAAATTTTGAGTTTTTGTCTATTGACGTAATTTTTCCCATGTACAATCTCAAATAATAAATGTAAAAATTCAAATACACAGGGTGATTTAGACCATACCTATCAGACTTTTTAAAGTTAATTCAGGCTATCCAAGAAACCTGACATTTAATATCAGGACCCCCCTTTTACTGCCCAAACAAAACCATAGGGGCAGGGGGTGATGAAATTCTTATACTTCAGGGTCAATCTCCTATTCATTCCTGCAGGCCATGACCTCAGTTGACCTAAAATATCTAAGATTCACTGATACAAGTCTGGCACAGGTCGTCTAGATCAACCTGTGTAGGAATTTCAGTTTTTGTAATTCTATAAAATGTCCGAGATGTTGAACATATCTATCAATTAAGTGTTCTTAAGAAATCTTTATATCAATCTGGAAGATGCGCTGTTGCTTACCTATCAGATTATTATCTGTAACGTAACATTTTATCTGTGTCTCAACCTAGAAAAATCTCAACCATAAAAAAAATAAAAAATTAGGTGTATCAAGCGTAACGAATAAGTCTGTAAATTCTTTGTAAATATATTAAGAAACCTCATATGGTTTGTAAGAGGATATTGTAACTCATTGGTTTAAAATCTTTTGAAAATCTTGTCATTATTTTTAACAGGAACCCATTTTAAAAGTTTTTTTGGCTTGTTTACCTGTAATATTAAATATTTATTTTTAACTGTGATGCTTTTGCCTTAAGTGAAGGGTCTTAATTGATAAAGAATGTATAAAGTAAACTTTCAGTAGATAAATGTGTTCCTAGTTGTGTTTTATAATAAATTCAGAGCCACTTTGCTGCAAAAGGGCAAGATAGAAAGGAATTAAAATGTCAGGCATCAATCTTCACAAGGAAAGATTGACCCGATGCATTAGTTTTCGTGAAAAATTTTACAGTGTGTATCCTTACCGTCACAAACAATATCCCGGGTGATTTTTTTGAAATTTGATTTTTATTCATCCCTTTTATTTTTTTGCTTTATTTAAATTTTTTTTAGAGTATCAAAATCATAGAATAATTATAAAACTATTTCTGGAAATTAACCCTCAGATTTTCTCTCCTGTTCCAATGACAATAAAATACTAATTACATTTTGAAATTAAAATGTTTCCTTTCTCCCTATCAAATTATTACTCAACATTGCTTCATTCTCTGGTTTGCCTTTGTAAAGGAACATACCTACTATGATGATATTCAGGTCAACCTTGCAGAGATTCAAACACGGGGAATAAGGCCAACTTTAGATCGGTCAGTACGCTGTTATGTCGTCTCTCGCACTTGTCGATCAGATGCGGCACTCCTCGGCTCGTCAAAGGGACACCTGGAGGCACACACACACTCGCAAAAATAGTGAAACTCTCGAACCTAAAAGTGGCCAAAATTAATGTTTTCGGCGACAAAAATTGATTTTTGACAGCACCACTAGATTCAGCGTTGAGAAATACTGAGAAAATGTGTCTTGCGTTTCTTCGCTATGACTCATTGTTTTCGAGGTATCAGGGACTGAATGGAGCGCGGGTGGGCGTGAAGGGGGGTAGGGGTGGCCCCCAGGGCAAGCGATTTTGGAAAAAAAGTTATAGTATAAAAACGTCTCTTTTTGACTCTAAGAATCGACTCCTTCAATATTCGTGCTTAATCCTGGGACACCCCATATACTCGAAAAAAAGCAAGTCTCTGCTCGTATTTTAGCCGCGGTGCGCAGTGGATCCCTGGTAAAAATTGGCGATCAAAATGCCATAGGAATTCTTATAGCCAGCTAAAGAAGGCTACAGAAAATCATATAGCTGGCTGTAGAATGCGGAGAAAATCATACGGCCGGGCTATACGAAGCGATAAAAAATTATGCAGCCGGGCTATAGTTTCTATCGCCGGGCTTTACACTTTATCGCCATCGATTATAAAAGGCTATAAGAAATTGTGTAGAAATTCGTGTGCTTTGGAAATCATTAAGTTTGACATGGAAGCACCTTAATATTTACAAAACACACATTATGTTTTCCTTTAATACATATTTTTTTTCATCAATTAAAATGAGAATAATCCATATAGGATGTGCAAACATTTCAAAATCATGAGTTGAATAACGCTGACTCCGCCAGATTAAATATTAGAGCCTAACACAAAGCGGAGCGGCGACGCACTGGCGTCTACAAACCTAACAGGGGTACTTCACGCATTACGCAACGCGTGAAGTATCCATGTTAGGTTTGTAGGCGCCAATGCGTGTTTCGCGCTGGCTGCCCGCCTGCCACGGCGCTGGAAGCAACTATTTCACACCAGAGGTATTGCACAGTATCATACGAAACTGAAGGCGCTCTAATATATTAGTAATGGCAGGCATCCATCAAAAGTACGGAGCTTTCGTCGCAAAATAAATCAAGATACTGCGGCTCAAAAAGAGAGCAGTATTCCAAAAACTCACCAAGTCCCAGCATCCGTAATTAGTAACGTTTAGCATACACTTTATCGCCTGGCTGTTGCTTAATCGCCATCGGCCATAAAAGGCTATAAGAAATTGTGTAGCCGGCTATAGAAGCTATTGGAAATCTTACAGCCGCCTGTAGGTCCATGGTATTTTGGAACACAGATTCTACTGCCAATTTTTACCAGGGGATCAAGTCAATGGGAGAGGTCGGACAAAATTTGGAAACTCTATAAGCGCTCATAACTCCGTCTATACAAAACTTTGAGGTTCTAAAAGTGGTTCTAGTGGTTTTCTTGAGACATTTTCTTCCAGAAGCAACACTTGAAATTTAAAATATGACGAAACAAACATAAAAATTTGCAGTTTCAGTCAAAAATGCCATGCCCGACTTCCAGGGCGGACTAGCCATGGGGGCGGGGAGGCGATCGCCCCCTAACAATTTGCCGCGGAGGTCCCGAAGGGACCCCCGACCCCCCCGCGGCTAATTTTTTTCGAGTCATCGTTTTTTTCCCGTACTGTTGTAATTTTCTTATCCTTTTCAATCACTAAAAGGCCCCGAATTCCTTGAAAATTCATCTCTAAGAGACACGGAAGGTCACCAAAAGCATTTGTGATGAAGGAACCCCCGATGAATCCTGAGAATCGGTTATTTTGAAGGTTAAGTACCGTAGAATCCAAATCCAATTATGCCTACGTGTTTAAAAAGTGTGAAATTTTCAAAATTTACCGAGAGACGGCTCCCGGACCTTCTTAGAGGGGCCCCCGAACGACAGAAAGGGCCCTTACATTTAGGTCTAGTCCTAACTTTTCGACTACTAGTCCGCCTCTGTGTGCCGTTAATGCAGTTTTGACCGTTAAGGCCGTAGTTTAAGGGCGCTAAAGCCAGGATTGTATTTCGCAAATAGATAATTTTTGCAGAATAATTAAAAATTAAAGAGCAGGTGTAATTTAACAGAAAAAGAAACGAAGTTCGAATCTACAGTATAACGCAAAAAAATGTGGAAAGTCTCGTCATGTAAATACAGATGATTCGGAAACGCCTTCAATTGAAGCGTGATACCTCACGCGTTCCGGGGAGTTCAAATAGTCGTATCCCTGCGCCTTAGCAAGGCGATAGAAGTTTAATATTGAAGCAGCGTCCCCGCGTTGTTTTTCGGTTTTCCTGTGCCGCTACTAAAATTTTGACCCATCACTCTGTACTTGAAGGGCGCGAAAGCCAGGATTGTAATTCGCAAAAAGATAATTTTTGCATAATAATTAAAAATTAAGAAGCAGGAATAATTTAACTAAATAACTGAAGGAACTCAAATCTACAATAAAATGCAAAAAACTAACGTAGTTTAAGGGCGCTAAAGCCAGGGTTGTACTTCGCAAAAAGATACTTTTTGCAAAGTAATTATAAATTAAGAAACAGGAGTAATTTAACAGAATAATAAACGAAGTTCAAATCTACAGTATAATGCAAAACAATTTGGAAAGTCTCATCGTGTAAATACAGATGATTCGGAAACGCCTTCAATTGAAGCGTGATACCTAACGCGTTCCGGAGAGTTCAAATAGTCGTATCCCTGCACCTTAGCAAGGCGATAGAAGTTTAATATTAAAGCAGCGTCCCCGCTTGGTGTTTTGGCTTTCCTCTGCCGCTACTGCAGTTTCGACCGTTCAGGCCGTAGTTTAAGGGGCTAAAGCCAGGATTGTACCTACTTCGCAAAAAGATACTTTTTGCAAAATAATTATAAATTAAGATGCAGGAATAATTTAACTAAATAATAAAAGTATTTCAAATCTACAATATTATGCGAACAAATTTGGAAAGTCTCGACTTGTAAATACAGATGATTCGAAAACGCCTTCAATTGAAGCGTTATACCTCACGCGTTCGGGAATTTCACATAGTTGTATCCCTGCGCCTTAGCAAGGCGATGGAAAGTTATTAATGAAGTAGCGTCCCCGCGTTGTTTGTCGGTTTTCCTGTGAAGCTACTGTAGTTTCGTCCGTTCAGGCCGTAGTTTAAGGGCGCTAAAGCCAGGGTTGTATTTCGCAAATGGATACTTTTTGCAGAATAATTAAAAATTAAGAAACAGGAGTAATTTAATTGAATAATAAACCGAACTCAAATCTAAAGTATAATACAAAACAATTTGGAAAATCTCCTCCTGTTACTACAGAAGGTTTGAAAAACGCCTTCAAATGAAGCGTGATACCTCACGCGTTCCGGAGAGTTCAAATAGTTAATTGTATCCCTGCCTCTTAGCAACGCGATGGAAGCTTAAGATTGAAGGAGCGTCCCGATTTGGTTTTTCGGTGTTCCTACTACAATTTTGACCAATCACTCTGTACTTGAAGGGCGCGGAAGCCAGGATTGTATGTCGAAAAAAGAAAATTTTACTAGAATAATTAAAAATTAAGACGCAGGAATAATTCAACTAAATAAAAAAAAAAACTCACGCGTTCCGGAGAGTTCAAATAGTTGCATCCCGGCGCCTTAGCAAAGCGATGGAAGCTTAATATTGAAGTAGGGTTTCCGCGTTGTTTGTTGGTTTTCCTGTGCCCATATTGTAGTTTTGATCGTTAAAGCCGTAGTTTAAGGGCGCTAAAGCCAGGATTGTACTTTGCAAATGGATAGTGTATGCAAAATAATTACAAATTTAGGAGCAGTAGTAATTTAACTAATTAAAAAAATGATCTCAAATCGACAATATAATGCAAACAAATTTAGAAAGTCTCGACTTGTAAATACAGAAGATTCGAAAACGCCTTCAATTGAAGCGTGATACCTCACGCGTTCCGGAGAGTTCAAATAGTCGTATCCCTGCGCCTTAGCAAAGCGATGGACGTTTAATATTGAAGTAGCGTGCATGTTTGATTTTTTGGCTTTCCTGTGTCGCTACTGCAGTTTTGACCGTTCAGGCCGTAGTTTAAGGGTGCGGAAGCCAGGATTGTATTTCGCAAGAAGACAATTTTACCAGAATAATCAAAAATTAAGACGCAGGAATAATTCAACTAAATAACAAAAGGAACTCAAATCTACAATTTAATGCAAAAAAATTCGGAACATCTTGTTATGAAAATGCAGACGATTCGAAAACACCTCCAATCGAGGCGTGATACCTCACGCGTTTCGGAGAGTTCAAATAGTTGTATCCCGGCACCTTAGCAAAGCGATGGAAGCTTAATATTGAAGTAGGGTCCCCGCGTTGTTTGTCGGTTTTCCTGTGCCCCTGTTGTAGTTTCGACCGTTAAGGCCGTAGTTTAAGGGCGCTAAAGCCAGGATTGTACTTCGCAAATGGATAGTGTATGCAAAATAATTATAAATTTAGGAGCAGGAGTAATTTAACTAAATAAAAAAATGATCTTAATGGAACCACTATCTCTGGCTCTTCCATAAAAGCACGTATCTTCATAGGGAAATTAATGGCACATATCGACGGTGAAACTACCAAACCACGTATCTCGGTTTGCGACGTCGCAGACTTCCTGTCATACTTTATTTTTTAAATGAAAAACTACTTAACGACCAGTCTTGAAAATTTCTGTGATTTTTCCTCTTCGTGCGGAGAAAATTCTGTGAAAATTTCAAGGAATGATATTGATCTGGTCTACCTACTTCAAAAAAATAAAATGCGAGCGTAGATTTTTAAACACCGCAAACGAGATACGTGGTTTGGTAGTTT